GATATATATATATATATATATATATATATATATATATATATATATATATATATATATATATATATATATATATATATATGTCCAGCAGGATGCAGAAATGGAATTAGCCAAACAGGGAGGGGAAGTGCATGTGTGGGTATTTTTTTATTTTTATCTTTTGTGAGAAGAAGGTTCAAAGTACAATGTTGGCACAAGCATGGGTGTCCACACCAACTACTTAAAGATTCTTTGCATGCTTGCATCCAGCAGCAGCATGATATGAATGAATGATTGAGCTCTCACCTCAAATTCATCAGATGCCATTACAAACTCCCCTCCCTCTCATCTATCCATTTGAATTTATATTATTATTATTATTATGTCCGTGGGCGTTGCGCACTTGACAAAGGTAGGGAGTACTAATTGAGTAGACTCGAGTTTGATTCCTGACAACTGTACTGAGATGCAACTATGCTAAGTACATGGTCTCTGCAAGTACCAAATGCAGGCTCCACTCTTTGCCATCAATCTGCGATTAAAATCCAATTTATCCACCTCAGTGACCGTCCGGCCGGGTCTGAGTGACCCATCCTTTTTTTAATTTATATTATAATGTAATACATGGAGTAATAGATTATTAGGTGGATGGGTTAAAAAGAAATTCTTTTAACTCAAAAATGACCAGTACAATCCTGCAACAACAGGGCCTGGGGTGGATCCAGTGTGTAGCAAACCTTACCCCTAGTAAAAGTTGAGAAAAATTCTTTTAACTCATACGCTGAAATTCGGAATACGCTTAAATTAAGATATTCGGACATGATATGATTAAAAAAACTTCGTTTGGTGTGTAGATACAACCAACGAGAAAAATAACCCTAGGATAATCTCAACTCCGATTGGATCTAATAGGTCAAGATATACGGAGTAGGCAAACATGCTTCTATAAATTGTTTTTTGCAAGTCCTATTGGGGGTGCAATTGGAGGGGGTGAGGGGGGACGTGTTCGGGCCGGAGCGTGGTGGGGGGTTTATCAGGGGGGGTTAGGGGGACAGTAACCGTCAATTTTACGAACGGGGCATCGAAGCACTCCCGGGTCATCCCATGACATTGGTTCTCAATGTCATGGGAACCAAGGTGATGATGCATTCACTCACCACCCAATATCTTCATAGAAATGAAAGCAAAATGTAAGGAAACTTGGATTTATCATTTTGATTTAGTTCTTTTTTTACTCGAAGTTATAACAGTATAAAAAGGACTCTTTTAACTCCATTGGCAATGGTCATAAGATACACTTGCATTTCACATACACACGAATATATTTTCTGTTCGCAGTATATACTTAAATATGTGTTTGTGTGTGCATTCTCAAAAAATCAAACATTTATCGTATCTAATCCACATTCAATATGATTGTTGAATTAAATTTTTAGATACCTAATCCCATCAATCCGAGAATCATAAATCAGGTTGAGTATCAAATTTTTTGAATCAAACCATTTTAGGTTTTTCGAATCATAAATCAGGTTGAGTATCAAATTTTTTGAATCAAACCATTTTAGGTTTTTCGAATCATAAATCAGATTGAGTATCCAATTTTTTGAATAGAACCATTTAAGGTTTTGAGCAATATTGCATTAATATTAGTTTTTTGGTATTCACGGAGAAAAAGGGGTGTGATCATGGTCTTAAGTTCCACTATTTGAAGTGCAAAGAGTTTATGGGGAAAGAATTCATGTGTCCCATAAACTAAATGCAAATCAAATGATGGAACCTTAGACTATGAGTTCCATAACTATGTCCAATTGTACCCACTAATTATATTGTGCCACATATGCAATGTCTTTTTTTAATCCTAAATCTTTCCCCTTCACAATTGTACACAAATTGTTATTGGGTCAATATGCCCTCTCAGGATAAGAGTACAAATAACACTCTTTTGAAAACTTGGGATAAAGATTAAGGTAGAAAGTACAGGTGATTTCCTAACCTTATACTCAACTGGACCTCACCAGCTTTCATAATCTTACTCTGGGTTTTTTTTGCACTAATTCATTTATTACAATGCACAAACAAAAGAAATATTACTTCCAAGGATGACACCAAGCTTGACACCATCTAAGACCAATCACGCACAGATGATGTAAAACTTAGTGTCATCATGATGTGACTATAGCATGAGCCCAAACAAAACACCCCAATGCATTAGGATTGTCATCATTATATAACTTCTTTTTCATTTGGTGCATTGGAGAAAATAGGTAAGAGACGTACTCGCATTTTGAAAGACTTTATGACCCGCTTGCTAAGGGTTGTTTGGCTGAATTTTCAGAATATGCTTATAGACAGATTAAGCTGATTATCGCTGCCAAACGGAGCGTCAACTCAATTACAGCTTAGGCACATAGGATATGAAGTTGGGTGTTGAAATGCTCACAAGGCAATTTATTAATTAACACAGAACCCACAAGAAACACTGGAGAAAGAAATGTTCATACCAATGAAAACTTCAACTGGAGGAATAGAAAGACAGATCTCTTGCAAGAACCCTTATGACTGGGACCCGCGCTCAGCGAAGTGCTTCGTGCATAGGCAATTAGAGATGTCCATGTGAACGTTCACTCGAGTAAACGTTTGTGCTTGCACCATGCGATTGCAATCACATAGAGGAAGATGCTGCCGGTGCAACCACCTCCGATGGTCCACAGAAACTCCGGCATGCCGGCCTTTTCAGGATCAAACAAATCAATGTTGATATTCATGCCGAAAATGCCCGCCACAACCACAAAGGCACTTATCACAAGGGTTGCTGCCGTCAGCATCACTCCCATTTGCAGAAGATGGTTTTGTTTGTCATCAAGCATTATGTTGATGTAATCTTCTGTGTCATCCACATACTCCCTCAGCTTTCAACATACAAATTGCATCTTATAATATCAGTATACCTACTTGCATAAATCCTCAAGGGTCCGTTTGAGACCCCCGGAAAATGCTACGGAAAGAAAGCAGGAAGGTTGAAATTTAAGAGGAAAGACTATTTGAGGGAAAAGAAAGAAATTGTTTAGAAATCAATAAATAAATTTCAGATATTTGTTCAAACTCATTTTATTCATATACTTTTCTACTGTTTAAAGACTAAGAAACTAACATGTGTGTAACATTGTAAGAAGTTCTAATCAAAACTGACTTTTCCAAGTCAAAGCCGTGCATAAGAACACCATTTCCCTTGGCACTTGTTTCCTTTCCCTGCCATATTTTCAGGTTACAATATAGCCTAAGGGTTTGTTTGGAATCCGATAAAATCAAAAGAAATAAAACAGAGAGGAAAGTAGAGAGAAAATAAGAAAGAAAATTTTAAGAAAAAACAAAGATAATCAAACTTAATAAATTTATTTTAGATATTTGTTCAAACTTGTTGTTGTTGTTCAACTTGCGCTCTACCGCTTTAGGCAAGGGTAAGACCTCCATACACCCACCCAACCCCCTCAAACCCCACTTGTTGGACTGGATAGGTTGTTCAAACTCATTTTGTTTAAATATGTTTTTTTAAATACATATTCCATTGTCCTTGGTATTGGTGAAGGCAGGGCCAAACATTAAAAGGGGGGGGGGGGGGTAAAAATGGGTTCAAATCCATGATTTGATTTATAAATTTGTTCAAACTCATTTTAATCGAAAATTTCTATCATATAAGTGATAAGAAATCTAAATATGTGTAATTTTTTTTTACATGTTTTGATTCAAATTTGATTTTCCTTCGTACATTTCAAGGTAAAACAAAAAAATCTTTACTTGGTATTGTTTTTCCTTTCCATAGCAATTTACGGGATCCAAACATGACCCAAGTAATTCAAGCATTTGTGCAGGTTAACTTACAGTGGATAGCTTATTCAATGTGCCATCAATCTGAACGAAGTATGCTTCTAATAGCATTTCAAGCTCCTCCACATCAAGATGCTTACTAATAGTACTGTTTGTTGTACTTGTCCTTGTTCCTTGACTGCCTCGTCCCAGTGTATTTGATCTTTCAGGCTGGTGATCAAGATGTAGCAAATCAACACCATAACTTGTGGAACCAGTATTTGCCACCATTGAGATTTCTGCAGGAACCCTGACACAACCCACCCAACAAGAAAAGGTATAAGGCTTAAGGTTATCAGGAGGGTGGTTGTTAATGAGAGAAACACACTTCTAAAAGATGATAGTATGAAGAATGACAAACACAATTGCAATTTATTAAAAGAAATTGAGTCCAAGTTACAAAGTACCAAAGGCTTCTTACATTGTGCCCAAAATGGCAAAATGTGCATCTACACCCATCAATGTGTGTTTGGGATGACTTATTTGTAAGGAATAATTGATTTTTAAGAGAAAAAAATATGGTGCATTTATATTTCAAAGGAGGTGTTCGGCACAGAATTTATGAATTGCTTCAACCGCTTCATGAACATTTGGAGTACTTATTTAAGGAAGCACCAGAATGGTGCTTTTGAAAAAAATCCTTCTTAAGTGATTAAATTAGAAGACGTTTTTCACTGAATCAGAGCATTTTAGAAGAGGCAAAATACTTTTACACACTTTGAAGGGAAATGGAAAAAGTGTTTTTAAGTCTTAACAATAAAAGAACACTTATAATCCTCTTATTTATCAATGTGTTTCTTTGTGATAAAAAGAAACAAGCGAATATAGCATTGATCTTCCCAAATCCCCCCCCCATGACTTTTGCAATATAACAATGAAGATACAAAATGAAATGATTTTCCATTACCTCAGTTCATATATATTTTTGAAGAAAGGATATGTTGTCTCTTCTAAATTCTAAACTCATAAAATAAAGAGGGTTCCTTGTAAATTTTACTACAACTGAACTATCTTAGAAATATCTACATTGAGAAAGATTAGCCCTATATGAACCCTAAAAATCAATGACAAATCTGCAACTTTAAAACGTAGTTTCTAGTACCTGTCATTTAAATCTTCTTCATTGACTCCATCCTCCAAGCCCTCTTGCTCATTCACAGAGGAAACAGAAGAGCCCTCGTGTTGTTGCAGAAGTTTTTCAGTCAAATACATCTCAGCCATGTCTTCATCATCATCTAGCAGATGTTCCAGCTCATCTCTTACCTGAGAATGAAATCTTTTTTCAGCTTATTTGTCGAACACCTAACCACTCACGGAGTCACGGTCAGTTGGGATGGAGTGGATTGGAGAGAAGGCTGAGTCCATATCTCGATATATACCTCCGTAGTTGAGATTTAGCAAGGGATTTCATAAAGGTGATAAAATGTTTTACGATCACATTTATCTTTCAATCTATATAAGAATCTCATATATGAAACTTACTAGAATACCTTTTGAACACGCCCTGTTATTGCAACCAACCGGCTTTTAATTTGACGCACACGCTCCAAGTTCAGAGTACTAATTTTTGAAGTCAATTTATCTAATGCCGGATGAGCTTCCAGCTCCAATGTTCTTGCCTGTAATTAAAAAGGGGGAGGGGAGGGATTAATTATCAACAGGATGTTCGGCAAAGAGTTGGTTTGAATGGAAGGCTTTGGACGGCCTAGTCCGTACCTTTATAAATATAATGTTTCTAAAGATGAATAAAAGGTGATTGGAATGTTGTATGATCATCTATCATGTTTTTTCTTTGATCTTTATAGAATGTCAACTATGTAGTACGTATCAAGATATAAGCTACGTCCTCCAAAACCCTGCATCCAAACAAGGCCTAAGAAAAGGAACCACATACTACACCTCATTATCCAAGCAACTGCAAGCAGCTTCAAGACATGCCTCGAGTGCAACAAACTCAAAAGGAAGAAGCTTCAGTCCATCTCGGTTCTCACCAGTTTGTTTCCCATCTCCTTTACCATCCTCTTCCTTAGCTGGAAAATTCCCAGAATAGTTTTGAGGGCTTGCTCTGTTTGATTGTGAATCTTCGAATGCATACAGATTCGCCCAGTCTGCATTACCCTGCTCAGCTCCAGCTTCCTTCATCAATCATACAGATCAGTCAATTACCAAATCCATATAAACATAAAACTTAAAGTGCACAGCACAGTATGTGAACAGAAACAGACACCAAAAGATGATGTGAGTATTCAAATATAATCCCACCTGAATTTGTTGTTATGGAATCAGTTGAATACAGTAACTGAAGCTAAATCAGCAAGGTACTGTAAAAGAGATAAACTTTTCAACAAAATTTTTTGATTTCAAACACTTTAGGCTTTCTAACTTTGAACTATTTTTAATCAATAAATATAAATTATTCACCCATTAAAAAGTATAGATAAAAATGTAGAGAGAAAAAAGAGAAACCTGAGACTTAGTAGCTTGGTGGTGACGCAATATCCTGTGCTGAAGCTCGTCCACGAAAGGGGAAACAGAAGGATCTTTGGAATTGAGGAGAAGGACCTCCTGGGCGGTGATAATGGCTTTGATGTGCTCCAGATGGATGACGATTGCCCGTTCACGGCCGAGAACGGTGGAAGGATAGGATAGGAACGGGTCCAGAATACGAAGATCCCTGGCCGGAAGTCCAGTCCGCCGCATGATAGCATGTTTTCCGACCTCCACCACCTGCGCTTGCCCCGTGGAGTCCAACAGAAGCCACTGCCGGATCCCCGCAGCCTTCTTTCGTAGCCCGCCGCCTACGATTACGCCGCCCGGCAAGAGGGTGTTAGTGCGGAGGGGATCTCCGTCGTCGCCGGGTGAATCGGCGTTGATCTTCGGTAAAGGTTGGCCCTTCATCGGCGGCGCCCACAACCGCAATTGGTTTTTCAGTTAAAACGTACAATCGGCGTGCAGCTCCGCATAACATCATTGGAAGCTTTTTCACCCCACCCAAAACAAAACAAAACAAAACAAAACAAAAAATCTTGTTTCCATTTTCCACCCTCCCAAATTATTTCAATTTTCATTTAAGAAAAATACTTTCTTCCTCTTAAAAAAGAATGACCAAAGACTCCCTAAAATTTAATTATAGAGTTTTCCATTTACTTTTTTGAAGGCAAAAGGAATTTAATTAACGGATCAAAAGTTTCAAAATGATTTGAGGAGTAATCTCACAAACGACACGAAACAAAAAACTCTATGAAAAAACTTAATTAACAGTTAAGCGAATAAAACAAACAGAACAGACGCAAAAGATAAAACTAAGGGGCTGTTTGTTTCAGCCTCTTAATGGTTCAGATGTCTGAATGGTTCAGCACTTAATGGTTCAGACTGTTTGTTTCAGCCTCTTAATGGTTCAAATGTCTGAATGGTTAAGAGATTTGCCTCTGAATGGTTAAAACCTCTTATTTGAATTGATCAGACATTTGCCTCTGAATAGTTAAGCAATATATTAGCTCTTAATGGTTCAGACCTCTTACTGGTTCAGCATTTAATGCTTCAGACCTCTTACTGATTCAGCACTTACCGATTCAGAAGTTGCCAAACAGCCCTAACTGAAAATAATATTCAACTAAAAACTCAAAGTAAGAAGAGAAAGAGCCAAAGTCACTGTTGAATGGCCATAACAGCTTGCAAGCAATCCAAACAAACGATAACATCACTAACCCCTTTACCTTTAATTCACGATAAAATCTCTCCGCCAACAACGAGTCTTGAACACATTCTAAATTATCTTTGATCAGTTCTCTGAAGACACACCTGAACCCAACTAATTTAGTTTGTGAAAAAGTTGTTGTATCAACAAACTAAATTTCTAAAGACGAACAAGCAAGTGAAAAAGGGACGGCGAGACTGCCCCCTTAACAACGTTGTCGCCAATGGGCTCCGACCCTATTGGGCAACAACTTATTCCCACCCCTTGAGAAAAAATTAACTAAGGACACCAAAATCTAAGGAAGTTGCACCTTAAGCTTCCAAACGATTGCATTTTCAGCTTTCGGGGGGGTCTAAAATATCTCATGCAATCAATAGGAGATCCTTCAAAGAGGCCGAATCAGTGACAAGTTGAAACCAACTTTAGAAAGAGGATTCCGCAGCTCTGTTGTCCCCGTCTTCCATCTCAAAATTGATGCCTCTCTTACTATTATAGACTTTTGATCAATTTGTAATTAAAATAATATGTAGAACTTTTTTTACACGTTTGAATGGTGCAATTTATAGTTTCTTGTATTTATATATCAATTAGTAACTAAAATAATTTTAAATTTGATGAGATTTTGTTTGTTTTATGGAGAGTGGACCAAATGGCTCTAGTGCACACTGTAGTTTAGAAAGTTGGCATCAATACTCATATATTTTCAAAACTTATTTCTAAAATTCTCGTGGTTTCAAAACATTGTACCCACATCTCTTCTGATCATTTTCCGATCAATTTTTCAGTGAAGAGAGAACATTGCTGCCTAACTTCTAAACCACGGGTGGCACTCCTGCTCATTTCTGATTTTTGTTTATTATTTGATTTTTTTTTCATTTTTAGCTTTTTTTGCTTATTTGTTTCCTTTTCTTAGAAAAGTTTTTTAAATTTCTTTTTAATTTTTTATAATTCTTTAAAAATTCAAAATTCTTTGTATTTTAAATAAAATAATTAACACTTACTATATCTATCTCAAATTAACCTTTTGTTTCTAGAATAATTTTTGATAGTTCAAAAAGAAAATATAAAATAAAAGATTTAAAATAAAAAAACGAAATGAAAGGATTTTTTTTTTCAAAAAGAAATATTCACAATACCTAAAAAAGTCCTTAGAATTGGAATGTCCAAAAAGGATATTTATTTTTTTTGTTTTATTTTATTTCGTATTTTATTCCTATTTTTTTTGAAAGTTTCAATAAAAGTTTTTACTTTTTTAATTTGAAAAACAAAAAATAAAGTTGTTAATTTGAGACGTGGAGATACAGTATATGTTATTTTTTTTCAAACAAATATAATTTTAAAATTAGGAATATTATATAAACAATTTCAAAAAGTAATTTAAAAAAACTTTGATTAATAAAAGAAACAAAAAAAGGAAGAAAGGAAAAAAAATAAACGAAAAAAAGAAATGAGCTCGAGAATCCCCGTATGCTTTATAAAATAAGCACCAATGCCCCTTCTTCGGTGAAAAATGGCCAAAAAATGATCGGAAGGGGTGTGAGGTGCAATGTTTTGAAATCATTTGGATCTAAGAAATAAGTTTTGAAAATAGATAAAGTATTAGTGCCCATTTTCCAAACCACGGGAGATACTATTATTATTTAGCCTCGAAGAGTGCAATCCATTATGGCCTGGTAAACTGTTATACAATAAAAAGGAAAATAACAATGAATTTTGGTCAAATTGGTGAAAAAAATGTAAGAGGAAAGGAAAAGTTATATACTCTCTCTGTCCTTAAAAATTGCCACAATTTGACTTTTTTGATCAAATTTTAACACTTTTTTACTGTGAATTCTAGAAAAAATATAGTTAGGATATAATGTAAGTTTAGTAAAATTGAGTTTATTATAAATTATAGTTTTGAAATATCAAAATTTTATAATATTTAACTATTCTAGATTATATTTAATTTATGGTAAAAAAAATGTCACAATTTGACAAAAAAGTCAAATTGTAGTACTCTTTTAGAAAATGTTGAATGCTAAATCTGTATTGGGCCATGGGTGCTTTTGGGCCGAGCTTTACCTCGATTAAAGCCCAATTCGGAATCTAATCCAGGTATTTTACTCCGTATTTTCTAAACTAAGCTCCATTTTCATTCTTCTCTGGCTCAACACCTCAATCGGAGACAGGAAATTCCGACGGCTGACGATTACTCCGACCAGAAAGTGGCGGCAGCCTCTAATTTTTGAGTGACTCGGGTAAAATCTAGCACTAGCTTATTGATCATTTTTATTTTTTTATTATGTATTAGCAAAATTTATACTATCTGGGGCAAAGTTTGATTCTTCGTTAGTCTATCGAAATACATCTTTTTTTTGTGCAATTTTATCCGAATTTTTGTATACCTATCATGTTTAGTTTAATAATTCATGGATCTATGATGATTTTCTGATATGTTCAGCATTTTAAAATGTTACTCAGCTATAATGGGTTGGAAAGCTGCTCAGAAACTCATACATCACTGGAAGATTCTCAGAGGTGACAATGTAAATAGCAAATGTGGTGAAGTGATGAAATGAATTTGTAGCCTATCGTGTTTGCCACACTTGCGCACTTCTGTATCGTCTGAATAAATGGTGGCAATTTGTTTGTTGTTTCTTCGGCTTTGATTTTCAGGTTATGATAATTAGAGGCAAAGACAAAGGTGAGAAGGGAGTCATTAAGCGTGTCATACGTTCGCAGAATCGTGTTATTGTTGAGGGCAAAAATCTGGTGGGTAAAGTTATCTTTTCTACGATAGTATGATACTAGAGTTTGAATCTCCAATTGAATTGTCAACATTAGTTAATCAGCCTTTTCCTCTTAAGCATGTTCTAACGTTATCGTTTGTTTGCATACTAGTTCTTTGTTTAGCTAACATGTGAAAACACTGCCCGTTAGTAAGAGTATTCTTAGCAGAAGCTCTATGGTTAAAAGTACTGTTCAAGTAGTATGTATATGTTGGGAAAATAGAGTATACAATTCTTGATTAAAATTGAATCAAAAGTGTTTTTGGGACAGTAAGTCATAGTTGGATTAGGACATTTAGGCTGAGATGTCATTGAGAATGAATATGTTAAAAGGTCTTTCAAAAGTTTTAATTCAAAGCTTTTGAAGTTATTTAAGAAAAGCACTAGTAAACAGGCGGCAGACCAAATCTGCCAAACATATACTCCGTAAAATTTATCTTCTAAATATTCTAAAGCACTTTTAAAACTTGAGAACCCAAGTCAAACAGAGCCTAAAGATGTAATTGGCCGGAGTTGTAGTTGCCTAAACGAAGATGATCTATAAATGGGCTGGAACTATTTCTACCTCCTAGAGTCCTAGTTAATACTAGGTGGTGTATCATAGTTCATAATTTCTTATGGAGCAAGAATTGGTTAAAGAAGAACAATTTTAGGTACTCTTTGTAGTTGTTCTTGCAATCCCACTAGTATTAAGGAATCACATCTTACCTGAACTATTGTGTTGCCACATGTTTGCCTGGGTATTATTCTACTTTTGTTTCAAAGCAGACAAGTAAGACAACTAGACGTCGCACTTTCTATTTTTCCATACTTGATAAAAACTTCTTGCATTTCCAATTATGGGGGAAAAATATGTGGCTCAGAGCATTTTTCTTCTTCTGAGAAAATTTTAACCGCTTAATACATTTTCACGTTTCAACACTTTTCTTAAACCCCTTGAAGTCAAACTGTAAAATTCATTTTTGGGTGGAGGGAGTATATTTTTATGTCTCTTATTACCTAAACCATTTCTCTCTCTCTCTCTCTCATCCACACAAACTCTCTCTCCCTTTGTTTTTCAGGTAAAGAAGCATATTAAACAAGGTCAAGGTCATGAAGGTGGGATATTTTCAGTTGAAGCACCATTGCATGTCTCTAATGTGCAGGTTGTAGATCCAGTGACAGGGTATGGATATGCTTTTTGTCTTCTTGTTTTCTGCAACAACTTTTCAGATACAGAAAACCAAACAAAACAAAGTGTATGCCACTAGAGAGTAGGGTTTGCGGGACAATATATACACAGTTTACCTCTGCAGCTCTGCCCAAGGGGTAGAGAGGCTGTTAACTTTTACCCTATAGAGTATTGTAACTAATATTTATGTTTGCAGGCTACCATGCAAAGTTGGAATCAGGTACTTGGAAGATGGTTCTAAAGTAAGAGTTTCAAGAGGTATTGGAGCATCATGCTCTATTATTCCACGTCCTGAGATCTTGAAGATAAGAAGTACACCAAGACCATCAGTTGGTATGTTAAACTTCATATGTCTGCATTTTTCGAATCCTGGAAAGTGCAATCAATTTATTCTCTATGCTTCAGTTTTAAGGGCCATGCATCTTAGGTTCAAACCATGCATTCTTCTCTAGGACGGAGTAATGAACTAAATAAGTTGGCGATTGCTGTTGACTAGTAGCTTGGGTTAAGGCTCAAAGTGAAATTTTATTATAATTTTTGTGTCTATGCCAAAACTCAAAACACCTGCACTCAGTCCCATATGTTTGGAGGTTTTAATTCCTAGGAGGTTTTTGTGTTTTATCATTCATTGACCAGCTCGTCCCAAGTTTTAACTATATCCATATATTGGGTCCTAAATTTTAAGCAAATCACATATTATATTATACTTTTGTGGTGGATGAAGCATTAAAGGCCTGTTTGGTGAATTCTGGGTGGTTGATATGATATGAGTTATGAAATTTTGAAGAAATGATATGTGTTCTGAAATCTTAATTGAAAGTGTTTGGAGGGATGAAATGATGTTTTTTAAAACCAAACTTTCATTAAATAGTCTTCAAAATAAAATATGGGGGCGAACCAACTAACCAAGCCACTCCCCCCATGCTCTGAGAAGAATAAGATGCTCGCTAACAAATGCACCGCCTCATTGGCAGAGCAAAGAACAAACTGAAAGCGTAAGTCTCCATGCAAAAATAGCTGAGAGACTTTTACAATCATGAGTGATAGAACTGAAATATGACCAATCACTTGTTGGGAAATTCAAATAATCCACAACTTCCTGGAGAAATGAAATGATGGTGTTTAGGGGCAGTTGGGTGTGTGATTGGTGGCCGTCAACAGTGGTGGCTGGTGGCTGGGGTGGTCGATGGTTGAGGGAGATAACAAACCCCTGGATTGATATCTCCCAAATTCAGGAGATATCAAAACACCCCCATTTGGTGGGAGGGTTGTGATATATGGAATATATCAAATCTGGACCCTTTTTCGCTTTACCAAACACCCATAAAGGGTTTTGATATCAGAACACAAATCCCTTGTGCTCACCAAAGGGGTCTTAAAATTTTGCCTTTGATCATGCTGAAGGGTACCCTAACAACCCTCTTGTTAGGGTTGCAGATGAAGGGATTTTCTTTTTCATTGGAAGTAATGGTCTTATTGAAAATGTGATGTACCAAACAAGCATTAATGATTGGATCACACACCACATGATCTCAGGTGTGCTGAAAATTTCATCAGCGAGTTTTGGTTGCTAGATGAAAATTTCAAAGCTCTATAGATGAAATTAAAGATGGCATCGTTCACCATATGATTACAGCTTTGATTGCTAGATGAAAATTTCAACTTGCCATAGAGCTTTGATTGCTACCTGTGCAAGGGGTTAATGTGACCCATATATGATCCTTATATTTGGATTTTCTGCACATCACAAGTCTAATTCTGGCTTTATTTTTTTTAAAATAGCTGGTCCAAAGGACACTCCATTGGAAGATGTCATGGAAAGAACATATGACCCGAGAGCCGGTAAGGGCATGCCGGATCTCTAGGAAATGCTTCTTCTATGTTTGGTTTCATCTTCCTCAAAGCTTTGGGTGCCTGCCAGAATCTAGCAGGAAAGAGAGAATGATTAGGCATAAGTTGGATCTTATTATAATATTGCAGCAGTCTGTAATATTATTGGTTATAAGTTATAACTTGATGATATGTTTCCGGGTTAGAGATTTTGCTCTTTTAAATTGTTTGTGCAGACTCATGTCTTTTTGTTCACCAAGCAAAATACTAATGTTCCAATATGTCCAGTCTTTTCCCAACTCTATTGAACACTAATGTCTTTGTTCCATTGTTGTGGATTCAGGGAGTGTCTGTAATCTTTAGCCAGTATTATATGTTTTCCCAAATGTGTTTTGTTTGTTGGGATGCCTCCAAGTCCCACATCGGAGGAATATGAAGAGCAAATTAAACGAAATAAATAGGTTCAACTCTACCCATTATTGTATGAAGTTTTTCGAAAGGTGTCTAAAAATAAATCCGTGAGGACTTGTTCTATTGTCATGGATTCAATTCAATGAGTGTCTCTAATCTTTAGCGAGTTTTATACTCCGTATATTTTTTTCACAAATGTGTTTAGCATACTCATATGAAAAAAAGAGACGATTTTATTGTTTTTGTTTCCAGTATAGAACATACACTCTTCATCCAAATCATGGGTGCACTTGAAGATATGTGTGCCACCATTATAGTAACAAGACAATTCATTGCTTATGTACCATTGTAATGCTATTGGAGACAACTTTATGTATTGGAAATATTCTATATATCATGTCCTCAATTTTATTCTTGCTATTATTGTCAACTTTGTTTTTATTTTAGCTTCTGTAACTTAGTGTTCCTAACTTCATTTTTGAATAAGACATTGAACAAACAACAATATGTGTCACTTCAACAACAATAAAGCATAAAGAAAAAACATTTAAAAAAAACTTAGAAAATTTTTTATCAGGCACTTCAATCCGCACAACAGAGCTTACAAATGCTAGTATATGGATACGAGCAATTGAAACTTGCAAGTGATTGAGAAATATTCGGTGTTTCGTAGAAGCTTTAATATGGTGAGTGTCATATTATGACACTCATGGTGATTGAGAAACCATTTTTGTAAAACTACAAAATACCAAACCAAAAGGCAATGATGCATTGAGGCTAATGAACTTTGACAAAACCACACTTATCCAATATACTCTGTACCATAGTACCATACCATATCTCCTTTGAATAAAATCTAAATCTCATAAGTCATAATTGCCCTTTATGTGATATACATTTATGAGTCAAAAGTGAATCTTTTACGCTGTTGTTGTCTGCTAGACAAGCCAATCGTCTGACCAAAACATTAGTGTTGCCAAGAGTGCCACCGTGGCAGTTTCAACTCGTAGGCGTTGTGGCCCAAGCCCTACTGCAGTTGCACCAGCCTCAACTATCATCTTTCTCTCCTCCTCAGTGAAGTCTACAGTATAACAAAAAGCTAAAATAAAGTTTCAAATTGCAAGCCAACATTCTCTTAGCACCATACCATATCTCCTTTGAATAAAATCTAAATCTCATAAGTCATAATTGCCCTTTATGTGATATACATTTATGAGTCAAAAGTGAATATTTTACGTTGTTGTTGTCTGCTAGACAAGCCGATCGTCTGACCAAAACATTAGTGTTGCCAAGAGTGCCACCGTGGCAGTTTCAACTCGTAGGCGTTGTGGCCCAAGCCCTACTGGAGTTGCACCAGCCTCTACTATCATCTTTCTCTCCTCCTCAGTGAAGTCTACAGTATAACAAAATCTATATTAAAGTTTCAAATTGCAAGCCAACATTCTCTTAGCATCATATTTGTCATTGATCTTTTCAATAAGATGTAGGACTTGGGAACTAACCTCCTTCTGGCCCTACGATCAACAATCCAGTTGATTCTTTTCTTCGAGAATTCAATGCACTGAAAACAGGCATAGCCTCTGCCAAAGCAATGAATGATAGTGTCGATGTTTTGACCTACAGTAGAGCCCACATAGCAAAACGGATATAATAAATATGAAAAAGGAGAGAATTATCATTGTGTAGGTTGGAAAATGGGAAGGAATGAAAGAGGATTGAGAAGCTATTAGGGATGCCTTATGTTGTCACTGTTTTTTAGTAACTACTTTCTCATTTAAGCACAAGTAGTACTTTCTAGTTCCTCCGTCCTGAAATAAGACTGACTGGGCTTGGTTATAAGTGCGTGGTTGTGTTTTGTGTATCGGAGACAAAATGTATGAACCACACTATTCCATCCCTAAAAGGAAAGAAAAGCTTCTGGGACAAACAAAAAAAACTTATGTGGAATCTTTTTGTGATAAAGATAGAATATGTTTTTAAAAGCTCTAATCAAGTGGGTTCTTAAATACAATGTGTTTTGTTAGAATTAACAGCACATTTTCATTTTTTGCCGAACGCTGGTATGTAAAAGTAAAAGTACTATGTGTTTTCCTATAATAATCTCTTACTCTAAATATAAAATTCATCTGAAACACACTATCGTTAATATTATGTTTATCGTTAATATTATGTTTATCTATGTCATTACACAAACACTTAAATGGGCTTGGATTTTTTTAATTGGGAGCGAAGGGTGGAACAAGAAAGTTTTGAACTTACATGAGGTAAGAGCTCAGTAACTTTCATAGGAGAGTTGAAATTCATTTTGTGCAGCCGTTGACCTATTAAAAACACCAACATTTAATGTATAGGAGGAACAAAGAGGCACGCAAATATAAAGTGGGATGATGTGCAGAATTAACAATGCCCTCGAATTCTCACATTGTTTAGCTGCTGCTAAACTGACACGTAGTAATCTCTCCACTCGGTTTCCTGAAACCAAAGGAGACCGTTCTGTCAACAATGGAGTAATGCTGTGAGCCCCCAGCTCCTGAAACAAGAAACAAGAGATGAAACAAAAAGTTTCTCAGAGCCCGTTTGGTAGGTTTTAATTTTGGCTTAAAAGACTCATTGGCCTGACTATAGATTTTGCCATAGGCTTGCTAATATAACTACTATCAGTTCACTAGCTGGATTGGCTTATGAAGAAAACAAAGTAGAGCATGGATTACTTATTGGTTGAAATGACTGAAATAGATGGTATTTCTACTTACAGCTTTGATTTTATATATTTCCCTTTATCTTATGAAAACATGCGTTTTGAATAGTTTTTTAAAAAGACATTTTAACCGAATAAGCCATTTCAGCCACATCCACGTCTGCCGTTTAGAACCTTACTATACAGGTTACAAGTCTACCTGTCACACATCTAGAGGAACATGAGGAATACATACAGTGCATTTCTCCACAAGCCAATCAGCCCGACCTCCCTTTAGAGTTCCTAAAACAAAACATCTTTTTAAGGATAAAGCAAGCAAGCAAGAAACAGGAGTATGCTGCTACCAGTTAACACAGCTCTTAAACACTTACCAAAAGCAGCAAAGACATGCCATTGAGTCTCTAAAGGAGATACCGACTTGGGATTCTCTAACGCCACAAAGTTCAATCCAGATTGATCAATGTCCTGTATGCATCCTTCAACTAAGCTTCCATTTCCATCGAATAGCTCTACCCTTTCAAATTTAAAACAAGGATTTGACATTATTTGTTGCTATAGGATGGAGAAAGTGAAAATTAGGATTCCATTTTCAGCAAAGATCAAGGAGATGAAGACTGAGCTGCCTTTCCCATCAAATACCTTTAAGCTAGAACTCCACTCCTTAACCTTTTAGGGGGTTTTTTGTTGGGAGATTTTGGAGGAGATTATTAATTTTTTTGTCTTTATATAAATTTCTATTTATTAGTCATTCCCCAACATGGACTTAGAGGTTCAAACACAATCAAAGAACTCAGAAAAGGTAAAATCCATGTAAATCACAATATTCCCTAAAACATCAGATAACAATACCTAGATTTCTCCATACAATTATCCTATATGCACATTTGCACCACAACCTACACAATTATTTCCATTCATTCCCATCTTTGATGCATTTTCAATCCAAGCTATGCTAGAAACTACTCCTAAATACTAAGTTCTTTATGCTTTATTAGCACTATTGACTAAATATAAAGAACCAGCATCAACATAATATACCAAACACCATCCCTAAATTTAACTCGAGATTACCTATCATTAACGTTCAATCTTAATACTCTAGTCATGTGCCAAAACTCGTCTCCATTCACACGAACAACACTACCCTGCATTTTAAGACAGTTCATAAAGGTACTAAGATCAATCAGAACTAAATATAAAATTACAAACATAACTTCATCAAATCAACTCAACACATAAATCATAAATGGATACCATGTCCATGTATATGCACGAGTACAACTCTTCCACTTCCATATCAGATAATCAAAACTCAAAACGACTAAACGAGCTGAGCACCACTATTCATACATGACTTAAAAGACAATCTATTGCAGTTAATTCACCCTTTACTCAGTGTAGTAAAGGAGATGTGAAAAATAGATTACTTTGAGGAAGAATATAAGATTTATACGGCTTTGAGTTGAACTAATTAATTGATGTGATTTCAATTTTTTAGTGTAGTTCAATACAAGTGTCTTATGATCAAGTGCTGTGATCGTAATGCACCCATCCTAAATTTTATCAAACCTCAAAACAAGCTGAGCACCATTATTCATACATGATTCAAAAGGCAATCTATTGCTTCTAATTCACCATTTACTTCGTGCAGTGAAGGAGATGCGAAGACTATAATTATAAATATAGGTCTAAAATTACAGAGCAAGATAGAAGAAATTCAACGACTGGATAATGCATTAAGGTGGAGAGAGGGAACAGCGAAGATTGCCTTGGAAGAAGGGAGGATCTCAGAGTAGAAGCGGGGGAGGCCGCCGCGAGACTGGTTTGAGTGATGAGATGAAGACGGCGAGGATGAGAAGGCTCGGAAGCTGGAAATTTTGGACCTCGAACGGTTCAGCAAGACCGCTAGGCTGATACTCCTGGCCGGGGCTTGCATTTGGAGGAAGACGATGACAATGATGAAGGGTGGCATTCCCATTTGTACTACTAGTAATTTACACTGAAACATAAAATATGATCATATGTTTTTATTTCTCAATGTAGAATCATTTGTCATTAACTATTAGTCATTATTCAACTAAATGTCTAGCATCACTTGGACATATATTCTTAGAGAATAAAAAAGTTTAAGTCCTACATTGGGAAATGACTTATATTTAGTCATGTTTAAGAGCTGTTTGGCAACTTCTGAATTAATAAGTGTTGAACCAGTAAGAGGCCTGAACCATTAAGTGCTGAACCAGTAAGAGGTCTGAACCATTAAGAGCTTGTATATTACTTAACTATTCAGAGGCAAATGTCTGATCAATTCAGATAAGAGGTCTTAACCATTCAGACTCAGTATAATACTTAACCATTCAGAGGCAAATTTCTTAACCATTCAGACATTTAAACCATTAAGAGGCTGAAACAAACAGTCTGAACCATTAAGTGCTGAACCATTCAGACATCTGAACCATTAAGAGGCTGAAACAAACAGCCCCTTAGTGCAAATTTCACTTTGTATAACCTCCTCATTTTTCTCTAATAAGGACTATTAATAAATTTTGATTATTAATTAAATAAAGTTTGATACTGTTGGAATTTTTGGCATTTTTAATAGGCATTAAATGGACCAACTTGAGTATATTTGTCAATAGGCCCACTAACGGTTTTAACCGTTAATTAATGGACGTGTGTTCTCTTAAATGAGATAAATGTTTTGATAATTTATACGCCAAAAATGGTAGAGGGTGAATGAAAAATTGATTCTCAGAGTTAACCCGTTAATAAAAGAATATGGTAAGGATTGCAATTTTTGCAATTTTACTGAACCAATCTTCTTTTATTAATTTTACGTATTGTTTAAAATTAGTCCATTTTTACGGAGTTAACTGGCCATTAATCTCCAATTCTTCGGACAAATTTTAAACGAAGCGTAGCGTAACGGACGTGTTAATGACTAATTAATCACCATTAACACACCATTAGTGTGCCACAATGCTATGATTATTACTAAGCTTTAATTGTGTATAGGTTACACTTTTTAAAATAGCTTAGCTATAAAAATCAAAGGCCTCTCCTCTTTTCTTGTGTGCCTTACGTGAGAAAGAAAGAAAAAGAAAGGGAAAACTTTCTTGTTTAATTTTTAGAGAGGGCTCTTGACTTTCTGGCCATCCCCTTTAAAGTTTTGGTCGCCAACGTTCCTACATTGTTCTTGTTCGTTGGTGTGTGGTTGGTCCGTACAATCTCACACACGATAGCGGTTTTATCCTGGGAGGAGAGTGCCCACGTTTTTCTGGTACGGTAGGCGGGCACTACTACCTTAAGGACAGCTCCGGAGACTCCGCTGTCCTTCCACGGTGTTTTGTTTTTTTCAGGTTCAGTTCATAAAGACCTCGCTGCATTCTGTCCTAGTGCATAATGTCCTCGGAGCCCTGTGCATAACGTCCTTGAATTATTGTCCAGTGCTTAATGTCCTCGCTGTCCAGTGCTTAATGTCCTCGTTGTCCAGTGCTTAATGTCCTCGTACAACAAGGTCGTTTGAAGATATAGAAATTTATTTTCCAACTTTGTTTATTTTGTAATATTTTAAATAAATTATAAATTCAGAATTTTATTTATTTTTATTTCCGGGGCCGTCCATCTTCCTCGTCCGTTGTAATTCGTACAAAAGTTGTAACACATACTACGAACTAGTAACTACGTACTCCGTATTATTTTTTTTCATTTAAAAAGTTAATTCTTCTAGTTTAATTTTTTAATATTCTCAATGTATTATTTTTTATTGACAAAATTATATTGTTTACTTCCGAATTCTGCGGGAATTGTATGATTTATCCCTAAATATTAATAAATATATCAAATACTTCTGAATTTTTCAAAAATTACACAGTTTATCTCTGAATATTAAAAAATACATCAAATACTACTGAATTATTCTGAAATTGCATGGTTTTTCCATGAGCAACTTAAACTAGTTCGAACTGGTTGGTTCACCCGGTCAATCCAACTTTTTTTGTGCGAAAATTGACCAAAACATTATTTCATCTCATATATTTAAAAACCAGACCTAACTAGCTAGTTCGGACAGGGAGTCGGTGAACTAGAGATCGAACAAGTCCGATCCTTTGGACGGTTTTTCGCAGAGAAATAGTTCGAACCGGCCGGTTCACCCGGTCAAACTTTTTTTTTGCGAGAATTGGCCAAAAAATTATTCCATCCGTAGGATACGAACCTTGGATCTCTTGTATGTTATAACAGGCTATCCACCAACCTGAGCAAGAATACTTTTTGTTGTAAATTTGTTCCATATTAATTAAAAGATTCCGTAATTAAAATAATAAATATGTTTTAAAAGATTTCTTTATTACTTAAACTAAGATTCCTAAATTTTAAAAATACAATTAATTCTAATATTGAGTATGTGTTGCGAAAAAAATCATTTGATTCTTTTAGATATTTGGCAAAATTTATAAATAAAAATAAAAATATCCTTATTTTATAAAACTTTTAATGTACTTCTCGATATGTAAATTTCATTTTAAATATACATTTATTAATAAAATAAATTAAAGTTATTATGATTTCAATCAAATATAAAAGAATTTTATGTGTAGACGAAAGGAGGTATTTTGATTTCATACAAAATAGTAATTTTATATGTGTAGAAATTAATAAGAGGGAAAATATTCTGTTTATTGAATTGGCTTCTGAATACAAAGATCTAACCCTCTTTATATAGGAAGAGAGTAAAGCATATAAGTAAACTTCTATTCTTACCATATTTCTATTCCTACTAAAACAAGAAATAAACAAAATAGGAAAGATACTAAATCAAATCTCAAAGGGATTCAGTTTTCTTGTTTGATCCGGCTTCCTTCTTCTGTCGCCAACACCCCTCCTCAAGCTGGAGCGTGGGAGTTCAACATGCCCAGCTTGGACATCAAAAGATTGAACAAAGCTTGAGGAAGCCGCTGCCATCGTTGTCCAAGTGTCATTTAGACACTTCAGTTTTTTTCTTCAACGGAGACGCTAAGCTTTTTGAATCCGCCGAATAATCAGTCGAGTAAAGGAACGTCATTCTTTTCGAACCTTCACCGTATTCGAACAAACAGGGGGGACGCCATTCTTTTCGAACACCCAGAACGCCGACTTTTTTTATTGCCTGCTAAGGAAAGATCTGTCTCTGTAGAACAACCCTTCTCGGACAACTTCTTCAAGATTGATGGTTGGGCGGGATTTCTCGACAGCAATGTTTTTCGTTGAAGGAGTTCATGATATTATTTAGTGAGGGAGAACAATCAAAGAAAATTAAAAATTACAATATCCCGCCGGTAGCCATTGAATTGTGTATGCCCACCGGCAGGGGAAGAAGCGTGTTTGAGGTCTCAAGAATTCAAAACTTGCTCCGATACCATGTAGAAATTAATAAGAGGAAAAATATTCTGTATATTGAATTGGCTTCCGAATACAAAGATCTAACCCTCTTTATATAGGAAGAGAGTAAAGCATATAAGTAAACTTCTATTCCTACCATATTTCTATTCCTACTAAAACAAGAAATAAACAAACTAGGAAAGATATTAAATCGAATCCCAAAGAGATTCAGTTTCCTTGTTTGATCCGGCTTCCTTCTTCTGTCGCCAACAATATATAACATCATATAAACTAGTTCGACAACTTAAACAGCGGATTTTAACCAGTGAACCACTAACATGACCAATTTGGTCACATGTGGAGTTCTTAAAACTATGCCTAATCTACAAGTTAAATAAGCCAACCTTCTATAAGTTACTACGATAACCTAAAAGACTTATATTCCGTATTTACATTTTACATCTCCAAATAGCTCCGAACTCAGAATAAAATATCCCTAAGTACTACGTAGTATATTGGAAAATTCAATTGAAGTCAATTTTTGGTAGTGAAAACGAAAACACTAACCAAATTTTGGTTCAGTTTTGGTTTTACATCCAATTTAGATATCTTTGGATGGATTTGTTTATACTTATAAGAGGAATGGTAGGGGTACACCAAATGGTGTACCCCATTTGTCCCCCACTCATTTCTCCACCATACAATTTTTTTTTTTGTTTAATTTTTTTTATTTTCTTGTTTTTTTGTGGTGATGGAGAGGTGAGGGACAAATGGTGTACCCTAGCATTTTTCTACTTATAATCTATCCGTTTTAATTCGATTTGATGTTCAAATTATCCCAATTTAGCTTCAGATCTACAACCATTTTAGGATTATACTAAAAAGTATATCTCAAATTATACTCTAATACACCAGGCACCAGCATTATAAGGACTTACATTGATATCAAATACGGAGTATTAATTTAATAAAAGAAATTTACACATTTTGTATCAGTGAAAAAATAAGTGATATGTCCTTCTACATACAAAATGGATCCAATTTTTTAGTGTTATCTATGTACGTTTTTTCTACACCTTCCTCCAAAATTGATTCCAACAAGAATCCTATAACTTGGTCGCCGACCCACTGTGATTTTCAACCCGAAAGTGTAGTCTGAACTTTCCGGCCGGCGCAGTGAGAGCACAATACCACCCGGAAGTGACGCCGCCTCCGCTGCCATGAAGCTGAGACTCAGATCAGCCGTGACCAAAGATACCATACGGGTAGACGTCCCTCCTTCTTCCACCCTGCCGGAACTCAAACGCCTGCTTTCTCAGGCACTCCCCGGATCATCCGCCGGCTCCTCTCATTTCTCTCCAGATTCTATTCGTCTCTCGCTCAACCATAGAGACGAGCTTCGATGCTCTTCGCCCGACGAAACGCTTCAGATGCTAGGTATTACCTCAGGTGACCTCATCTTCTTCTCCCTTAATCCCATTCCTTGTGAATCATTGGAAACCCTAAATTCTTCCATTTCCTGCTCTAATTTACCGGTTGAATCGTCCACGAAATCTGATCCCGCGAACCAGAACGAGAAAAACCTAGAGCCAAGTTCTGTTTTCCAGGTTGGATTGACCGGGAAATCTGATTCCGTGAACCAGGACGTGAACGCCACAGGGTTGCTCCAGCCAGGAGAGGAAGTAGAGGGTGAACTCATGGAAATAGATTGGGATGTGAATGATGATGATGACCAGCTTTCAGTCACATCTGGGAAATCATTGTCAATCCCTGGATTTTTGAGAAAAGTGTTCACAGAGGAGTTGAGTAATGATGATGATGGTGGTGTTAGAGATCACAAGTTCTTGATGATTGCCGTTCATGCCGTTCTGCTTGAGTCTGGATTTGTTGGTTTCGACCCAATTCTGCTTAAGAAAATCATCAGATTTCAATCACCATTCCAAAGAGGAGGTACTGATCCCTGTTACACACTGCTTGAGATTGCTGATAATGTCACTGTTAATGACCAGAACAGTAATAATATCATCCCCACTTTTAATCTTAAGATTCAGACACTAGGGAAGTTTGTGATAGTTTATGGTTCGCTCTCATCTGGCAGTTCCCCAGTGCACCGTGTTGAACTAAATGAAGAACACTTAATTCCACTGTTGAATGTTGCCTGGTCTAACTGTGGGTTATCTGAGAAAATAATTCCCGGAGAAGATGGCCTTATATGGACTTCGCCCGAGAAAGAAATTTTCCAGTTCTGGAGGACCGTCAAGGACAGGCTTGCATTGCCATTGTTGATTGACATCTGTGAGGTTGCTGGTTTTGGACTCCCACCATGCTTTATGAGACTCCCCACTGAACTCAAGCTGAAAATCTTGGAATTACTGCCTGGCGTTGATTTGGCAAAGATGAGCTGCGTCTCATCTGAGCTGAACTACTTGGTGTCAAACGATGACCTGTGGAAGCAGAAGTATTTGGGTGAATTTGGGAATCCTTCTGATGGGAGGAGGAGGACGGCTGGGAATTTGGTTGAATTTGGGAGTTCTGCAGAAGATGGTGGCTGGAAAAAGAAGTTCAGCTTAGCTTTAAAAAAATTGAAGAGGAGGAGGAGGACTGTGATGTTCAGAAGAAGACCTTTTGGGTATAGGATTCCTCCCTTTATAGGTCATTGGCAACCACGAATTATTGGAGATCACAATCCATTGCTTCAGCCACCACTTGACCCTCTTCATCATATCGATACCTCCATTCCCAGGCGGTTGGGTAGTCATGTGCCTCGCTGTGATCTCAGGTAGTTTTGAAACACATGGCATTTGCTTACCTTTTCAGTGCACATTATCATAACAATCTCCAATTATGATGGAGTTGCTTTGTTATTTGATGCAATCATGTTTTGACATGTTTCATATCAAGATTTGTCTTTCAGACAGTGTCTCTATCTTATCTTTTTGGCCATTATCAGTGATTAAGTTTTGTATGTTGCGTCATCGAATGTTTTGTGTTTCCCAATATCATATGACTGATTACATGCTTCTTTTGTCTTTGTTCTTGCTTCAATGGTTTCTTTGTTCTTACTTCATACTGTTCTTTTTTATCTTGATTTCATAATTTTTTCGTTTATCCCAATATTTTTTCAAGAAAATGAATTTGTGGTTGATATTGTTTATTAAAAATCATATGTCTAAAATATAAACAGAGATCATAGGGGAGTAGAGTAATTAATTCACGGAAGCCTCCAATTTGTTGAAATTATACACTTCCTCCCCTTCAAACCTTACATCCCTCTTAAATTATTGCTTATTACTGGAGTATTATAAAACAAATTAGGTGATATTACTCAAGAATTCACCTATTTTTTCCTTAATAACTCATTAACTCCGAAATCTCAATTTTAAAAGCATACAATGATGCAACAAAAAATATCCCAAGAAAATAATTACAGCTACAAACACTGCACACCTTTGTTTAAATAATCATTTAGGAAGTATTTGTTTGACAAAACCAAAACCAAGATTTTTTTTTAAATATGACTCTTGAGAATAAGTATGACAATTCTACCCGAACTTGGCTTTTATCGACTAGAGTTGACTCTGAACTACGTATTCGAATCCCAACTAGATATCTGAACTCGACATGCTAAAATAAAATTCAAATCTGGTCTCAACCGAGTAAGATTCGAGTTGTAGTATTTACGCAGCCCAAACACAGACATTCATAATTGTTCACCCTAGTGCCCACATTTGGTTAAAGGCCAATATAATAATAAAAGTACTGAATTGAAAATAAAAAAGTAATGTTTGAACCTCACGCCTACCTAGTTTTTAAAACTTATGTTCACGTGCAAGACTCGAGCAAAAACATTTTCTAGCCTTACAACCAAAAGTTCGAGATTTTGATTGAACTAGTTTCATCTGCGATTTTGAAATATGAAAACATGGTGAAGGGATGACATTTACAGGAAATTTCCTACTCCAACTCCAAGCTGATGCTTAGATTGCTCCAAGGTTATCTTTTCCACATGTTTTTTTCCCAATTAAAGAGTCATTAATTCTTTATGTGCCTGCCCCAACAAGAAATAGGGGAATAAATGCATTATTGATTTCACCTGTAGAGTGTTGGAACTTGTAGTTCAATTCTACCCTTATTGATCTGCATTTGATTTGACTTTCTTGTTTCTTCAGTGCTATTATTATTCATGCAACACTTTTTACTTCTTACTACTTCCCATATATAGAACTGCTCAAGTATTTAATTCACAACACTGTTAGCTTGGCATCTGGCTCCTCTGCATGAAGCTAACTTCTTAAAATCTGCAGAGAGAGAGAGAGAGAGAGAGAGAGAGAGAGATTTTGCATTTTTTCTGTCCTTTTGTATATATTCAGCATTGTATTGCCACTGAGAGAAAAAAAAAACAAAAAGAGATCTTTAGTGTAGAAATGCAGCAAAGTTTGGGTCTTGATGTTGAAACAGGAAATGTTGATTCAAAACACGACGAAGATGGTCGAATGAAAAGAACAGGTGACATTGTTTTGAATGCACCAAACATCTTTTCTTTCTTTCTTTCTTTTCCTTATGTGATGCAGAAATGAATTAGGTATGACCGTTTTTGTGTGTGTAGGAACCATTGTGACAGCTAGTGCCCACATCATAACGGCAATCATCGGGTCTGGAGTTCTGTCTCTGGCGTGGGCCATAGCCCAACTGGGATCGGTCGCCGGGCCGATTGCCATGGTGGCCTTCGCCATCATCACCCTCTACACTTCCCTTTTGCTGGTTGATTGTTACCGTTCACCCGATGGCAAACGAAACTACACCTACATGGACGCCGTTAGAACTCATCTGGGTATAACATAAAAATCTTTTCTGAACTTCCAACCACAAGCTTGAGCTTTTTTGTTTGAATTCCTTCCTTTACATTCTCACTTCCAATCTTGACGCAGGTGGCGTGAAAGTAAAACTTTGTGGGCTAGCTCAATACGCGACTCTCATCGGCATCAGCATTGGATACACTATCACCACCGCTTTGAGCTTGGCGTAAGTAGAAAACAATATATCCAATCATTTATTTTCTTTTTTTCCCTAATTACCTAAAAAACTGTTGCAATATCAAAACTTTTCCTGGGCATACAACCGGGCTTTTGGTTGATCTTTTATGTGCCTAGGGCGATTGTTAGAACCAATTGTTGCCACAAACATGGGCGCGAAGATGAGGATTGCAGGCCATCAAAACAGAAATTCATACTCATGTTTGGAGCAGTGCAAGTTCTACTTAGCCAAATACCAAATTTTCACCAACTTTCGTTCCTCTCCCTAATCGCTGCCCTCATGTCCTTTGCCTACTCTTCCATTGGGCTCGTTCTCTCCGCTGTTAAAATCGCAAGTAATGCTAATTATCATTAAACTAATATTTAATTCCTCGCTAACAAAAACACAGACATTTTGTTAAATTTAACTAAAATAGAGGAGAAAATTGTGTTGTTTAGATGGAGCAGATGGGAAGACGAGCACAATAGGAATGCCTGTGGGAGCGAACAATTCAGGCACAGACAAGATGTTCAATACCTTTTCTGCCTTGGGAAACATTGCTTTAGCCTTTGCTTTCTCATCTGTTCTCATTGAAATACAGGCAAGTGTCCCATATTGTTAGGGCATGTGCATTTCGTCTGATCTGAATTTATTAAGGTCTGATATATATGATATGAAACGGTGTTTTGTAGGACACGCTGAAATCCTCATCCAAGGAGAAGCGTGTGATGAAGCATGCGTCCACCATTGGCATCACAATCTCGGGCATCTTCTACCTGTTGTGTGGGACCCTTGGTTACGTGGCATTCGGCAACGGAGCCCCGGGCAACATCCTGACCGACAACCATGGCTTCTACGATCCCTACTGGCTCGTGACCGCCGCCAACGCGTGCGTCGTCATACACCTCGTTGGGGCCTACCAGGTGTTCACGCAGCCAGTCTTCGCGCTTGCGGAGTCCTGGAGCCGAACCAGGTGGCCCCACTCCCCGCTCGAGTACGACGTGCGGGTCCCACTCGGAGGAAACCTGAGGCTGAGCGTCTTTAGGCTGGTGTGGAGAACGGCGTACGTGGCATTCACGACTCTAGTGGCTATGATATTCCCATTCTTCAACGCGATTCTCGGCCTTCTCGGAGCAATGGCCTTCTGGCCATTGGCCATATTCTTCCCAGTCGAGATGTACATTGTTCAAGCAAAGATTTCAAGACTCTCCTTCAGGTGGATATGGTTGCAGGCACTGAGTTACTTCTGCTTGATCGTCTCGGTTCTCGCTGCGGTGGGGTCCGTTCGGGACCTCACCAAATCCGTCATGAACTTCAAGCCCTTTGAGTAGAATGCCAGAAGCTCAAGCTCGTGGTTTAGCTAGATATTCACCTAGGAATTAATCTAAGGGGTTAACATTTAATTATTTTAGTGCTTTATCAAGTACTTGTGTGCAATATATTCTCCCTAGCTTTGTTTTCCCCTTAGCAAAAATTCATTTCTAGGAACTTTTTTAAGTGCTTAAACTTGTCCATGCCAGCAAAATGTGTCTTGGTCTATGGGGTTTGCTTTAAGGAATTGAAGCTCTAGCTCCCACGGAAAGCCTTTAAAAGAAGCTACTCTGATTCAATTCGGATATTAATTAGATAAAATAATATTTTGAAAATATTTTACTAAACAAATCTAATAGAATTATTTTTGTTTCAATATCTAATGTGAGTATCAGTTTTATTTAAGTAATGATGAAGATTTGTTAATTTTGACGGCTAAGAGTAAAAACAAAACAAACTCCTTTCGTCTTACATCTTTTTTCTCATTTTGACTTTTGCAGTTAACTTTTTTTTTAACTTAAACCATGAATTATGATAAAAATACATTGAATTTTGAAATAAATTTAATATCAATAGGTTCATTTTGACAAGTAGTGTTGAAATATCAGACTTTCATATCTTATAAACATATATGCAAAAAGAGATCTTAATGGTCAGAATGGTACATTGGAGATCGTGAAAAGTCAAATGAGAAGAAATATATTATAGGAGAGAGTATCAATTTTCAATTGAGAGAAAGCCACATGAGTTTTTGGTGTTGGTTTGCTTAAACTTTGCCACTTTGTTTAGTTCATGTCAGCTCTATATATAGATAGGTATTTCTCGCATGACTTTCGGGAAAATAAGTAGAGGGGCGGGATTGAACGAAATTAAACATTATAGGGACTAAGAGTATAAAGAGTAGATTACATTATTTTAGAAAATACACCTGCTTGGATTTAATTTTCTTGTTTGATTTTCGATATACAAAAAATTTGTATCTCAAGATAAATTTGAAATATTGACATTTTATAAAATATATAACGTATTTATGTATAAATATCGATATTAATGAAAAAAGTGTTAGACAGAAAACTATGAAGAATCAATTGTATAGAAGAAGTATAATAACCTTGACTTTTTGTTACTCTATAAAATTACTATTTATCCTTACGTTTTCTTTGGTTATCTCTCATCCTGGGTTGTTGTTTGGAGTGTAAAAACTAAAAACTAACCCAGCAAATAAGAACCTGCCCGTCCGACCTGTCCTGCCCACCACCCCAAATGGGCGGATATGGCAAGCTAATTGTAAGCTGCTATTTTTTTTTAAATAAACCTAGGAGTACACCAAGATGAGGTACCCATTTGTACATCAGACAAACACAGACACTTAGTGTCTGTGGATCATAGACACTAAGTATCTGTTTTTATCTGTGTTTGTCTGGTGTACAAATGTAGTACTCAATTTTAGTCTATTACAATTATTATTTTCTATATTTTTTCTTGCTTTTGGTTCTCGTGGATTATTTCTGTAATGTTGTCTATCACTTATATTTTTTGTTGTAAAATTGCTATTTATAATTTTTTTCTTGGTGACATTCTTGGGCCCATAAATCCAGTGGACGGCCCAGCCCGCCTAAATGAACGGAAATGAGTATAACATCTAACCCATGCAAATCGGGTCATGTCGAGACTATCCATAAAAAAGGAAGTATTTAGCGTTAAGCTCGATCCAAAGCATTTTCTTTTATGATTTACTTTGATAGAAGTTATTTCAATTTAATTTAATTAATAGTTGGGTTTTAGTGTTCTTAGTCTCAATCCCGGTTTATAAAAGCGAATCAGAACGGTTCGAGATAAAATGTTGTCCTACTTTGACACATTCGTTTCAAGACTGAGATAATTCAGAACGGTTCATGACGTCTTGATTTAAATTTCTTATATGTAAATATAAAAAAATAACATTTTAACTTACAAAACTTATAAATGTCTATAAACAAGTACTACATGCAGATAAATACGAAGTATTTGTGTCTAGATATTAATGTATGTGTGTCTTGGTTAAAAAATGTACAATATTCCTTCTCGTTATCTCATTTACACACACAAAAAAACATCTAGGAGGAAAGTAAATAATACTTCTATATATATAAATAAAGATATAAATGGTCAAAATATTATTGGATGAAAACACCAATATTAATAGTATAATACAAAGTAATATTATATCTGTCTTTGAGTATTTTGGTCTTAAAAATATTTTAAGACCAAAATAGGAGTATAATGAGAGTGCAATGAAAAAGTGATCACAATGTAGTATGGAAGTGTGATCAGTCAATCGTGGATCCGTGGTGGTGTTATGTGGCCGGTGGCGACGTATGGCAGCACGTAGTGATAGCGCGGTGGTTGCAACATAACAATATGATGAGTGTGACGACAATGTAACAATGACAGCGTGAATTCTTATTTTGGTAGACTTAAGACTCATATTTTGGTATTTTCATAATTTTTTACTCATATCTAGAAAATTCTCCCTTAAATAAAATCGAGATTAGATATTGATAGAAAAATAATTTTATTAGATACCTCTTCCGTCCCACAAAACATTTTTTGTTTTGAATTTTAAGAGATTTAAGAAGAGTGTATTTTGGCAATGAGTGAGGTACTCCGTAGTATATACTCCTTCCGTCCTATAATGTTCTTCCCGGTTCATTTTACGAGGTTTGACCGACTTTATTTTCAATTCAATTTATTTGATTGTAGGTATAACATTAAAAAATAAAATTTATATATTTAAAAACTACATCAAAAGTTCTACAAAACAAGTGGTGACAAGACTATATTATTTTATCAAATAACTAATAAAAATAGATAAAGAAAGTGATTAAAGTTTGACCGGGTAAAAAGTGAGTGGGAAAACATTTATAATTAGGAGGAGTAGTACGATAGCGCCGGGGCGGTCGGCCTGAAGAGTAGTGTGGAATGGATGGAATTAGTAAGGCTTCTCGCCGAAATAATTGCCGGGAGGATAATAGTTGCAGATAACAAAGAATCCTCCCGGCGGGTCTATGGTGCACTTAGTCCGGGCGCAACCCACCGCCGCCGTCGCCTTCCAAACCACCTGAGTGTAGTGCCCACACATCTGCCCTGTTTTGCAAGAATTGGTGGCGTACGTATAGTTGGCCTTCTCCGACACCCACATTTCCACCGCCGCCTTCCCGGTCATGAACTCGCCGCTCCCCCACGCCAGGTTCTCGCCGTACTCTTTGCTCCCGGAGTGGTAGAGGTCGGAGCAACCGGTGCTCGACGCCATCTTTTTTGCGTAGTTTTCTGCGTAGTCAGCCAACGTCGCGTTCCAACTCAGGAGGCCTTCTTCCGCGCTTGTTAACCCTTCGCGCGCGGCGTTGTGGGCTTTGAGGTAGGCGGCGATGGAGTTTTCGTCATCTGTGGCGGCCGGCCGCCGTGCCATTGCCGTCTCCGCCGACGCTGCTGCGACGAGGAGGAATAATAATGCCATCAAATGTTTGGAAAAGTCCATCGTCATTCGTCAGATGAGTTTGAGGGTTCCACATATTAAATAGTGATTTTTTAATTACAAATTATTAAAAAGATATATTTAATTATAATATAAATTTAATATAATTAGATTTATCTTAGATATAGTTTTGATATATTAAATTTTAGGAGAAAAAACCAAAGTAAGACTAAAACATTGAAAATATACCAAAATAGGACTTCTTTGTTTTTATTCCCAAAATAGTACTTAAAATATATTTACATTACCAAAAAGTACAGTAATGTGCACATGTACAGTGACATCTTACAAATAGTTGATGTGGAAGAAAAATAGATGGGAGTAGGTCTTATTTGAATAATGAAGCTAAGGTTTCGCAAGTATATAAAGGGTCTGTTTGAGAATAATGTTAAAGATTATCGTAAGCATTTTGGATAAAATTTTAACGGGGTAGATTATTTTGAAAACGTTAACGCTAAACAATGCTCGTAGATAACTTTTTTAAAATGCTAACATTGATTTCTAAATTAATCTCTAACGTTATTTTCAAACAGGCCCATATATGAGCTTCCTAGCTAAAGTATAAATACATAATATAGCAATAAATATTATATGAAGAACTAGAATAAGATGGAAACTAATAATAATATTCCTCTGGTAGGTAGTGTTTAATAAAAATGGGTATCATTCCGAAACGAGATAAAAAGTCAAATTAAACAAACTCACAAATTGTGGTGAATTGTCGCACAAAATGTAATTCAGGTTTGCCTTTTGGAAAATATGTCCTGCTTTTTAAAAAATAATTAAGCTACTTTTGATGCATAATGTACATGGTAAGGCTTTGTTTGGTAACAACGTTTTCGATTAATGTTAGCGTTTTGGATAAAATTTTAAGGGTACAGATTAATTCTGAAAACGCTAACGCTAAAGGCTACCATCAAATAGCTTTTTCAAAACGCTAACGCGAATATCTGACGCTGATGCCAAATGGGGCTTTTGTTTCACCAAATTGTATGGTGTGGATTGTCTCACAAAGATGTTGAATCGTCGCACCAAATTAGGGCCGGATTAAGATGCAACTTGCCACACATGTCAAAAAGTGTAAAAAAGTATGAGTAGTTTTCAAAAAAAAAAAAAGTAAAAAGAATTATAGTGGATTGTCGCAAAATGTCAAAATTCCCTTTAAAAATGTAAAAATAAAACAAATTTTTAGAAATTATATACTTCCCCTGGTCCTAAAAAGTGTTCCTATTTTGATTTTTTATCAAAGAGCAACACTATTTGGTCATATTTGTGAGAAAAGTATATTGAATTATAATATAATTTTATATAATTAGCTTAATCTTATAATATAGTTTTGATATATAAAATTTTTAAAACATTTTTTATTAAGATTATGTTTAAATTTTGCGATCCATCCCTTCACTCACATTAATTGCACTCCATAAGATTTGCAACAACTGATAATAACTTGGGAGTATTATTAGGAGACTTCGCTACTTTAACAATCACATTATACTACGAGTACTATTGTGGGGAGTAATACTCCCTCCGGATCTTTATTTCCGTTACGCAAAATGGAGAAAAATCCTAATTTTTTTAAGCAAAACAAGTAGTAACAAAAATATTTTATTTTGTCATATAAGTCATAAAAAACATAAATAAATAAAAGTTCTCGTGAAGTTGGAATAGTGCTCTGGAAAGAAAAATATGGAACAGAGGGAGTATTTGTTTTGTCCCAAAATTATCATACCAGTTAAATTTTTATGATATCTTTGGCCACAAATTAAACATAAAACTAAATGAAAGAATATTTTAACTACATCCAAAATTAACTTAATTTTACGGAGTATTAAAGTTACATCATACTTTGTAATAAAATATACTCCTTCCGTCATAGTATATTCGCACAGTTTGAATTTTTTGAATCAAACTGAGTAAATTTTAATTATCAATTACTCTCAATTTGTATTGTATACTAATACAATGAAATAAAATTTTAAAAGTTTTGAAAAATAGAGATCCAATTAAATCATTTTTGTACCAATATACATTATACAAGTAGTTTTATATAGTATAGAGTTCTAAAGTTTATCCAATTTGACTCAATATATGTCATTCCTTAGCAATTATTAGTTCCCTAGGTAGCAATAAAGGTGGATTTTGAGTGTGGAACTTAGAATCTGAAACCTCAAAACCTTGATCCTAAAAGTACTATAATTTGAATAACCAAAATATAAAGTTTATGAGAATATAACCTTAAAAGAGAAAGGAGTTGTTAATGAGGCAGGTAAAATGGGAGAGGGAGTTCAGCACATTTTGTGAGAAACATAAATTAACTTCAATTTGTCAAGCATCTTATGTTGTCTGAACACACTGAATGGAACACACATGTAAATATATGTATTGCACAGCTATAAGAAAACAAGAACAACAAAAAGGGCAAGCAGTTAGCCTCGCAGGATACACGGGGGTATATTCGGCACGTAATTTGTTATGCCCGCAAGCTAGGAGAGCGTCTGGAACGTGCTTCCCAGTTTCTGCTTCTTAGTATCTGAAGAAAAGCTGAAAACCAGATGCTTCCGAATATTTCAAACTCTTTCTGTCCAAAACTGAGAATAGTTTCAAAAATCAGTCCCAAACACCCTGTCAATGGAGGGGCTTAAGGTGGAAAACATGGCATGCTGGCTGGTAAGACAGTTTTGCCCCTGCTTGTTCAAACTTCTTAGTTGCAGCTTCATTCTCTTCAAGGTTGGCCTGTACGAAGAACCTTATCCACCACGAGGCGCTCCTGAATTTGGCCTTCCGAAGAAAAAATGAAGTTTATATTACTTTATTAAAGCGAATACAAATCCGGTTCTTTTGACAGTGAAGGTCAGTGTCATAGTACAAAGTATAATACTAGTCTATTTGGGGGGCTTATAGTGCTTTGTTCGATCACGAAATGGTTCCAACATCCTAACATCACAATCCCTCCCCCCTCCCCTATCCCCTCTAGCCCTTCCTCCCCCCATTTGGGTGACTATCTATCAAAATCCAATATTTGATAGTGGATTACAGCCCAACTGGGGTGACAAAGGGAGCTAGGAGAGCTAGAAAGACGCGTGCGGGCTAGGAGGTAGGAACCACTTCGGAGCACTATAGGTCTCCCAAATGGACAGGGTGTCATATTATGACACCAATGAGTAATGTTAAAACTTAAAAGAACCCCTCATTAAAGGGGCCTGATTTATTTGACATCAAGTGCTAATGACATATTATGACACTGCTCTATTTATGGGCCTTACGGTGTTCTGTTCGACTCGAAGTGGTTCCTACCCCCCCCCCCCTTCCCTCCTCCTCACAAACTCCCCATTAGCCTGCCAATGCCCCCTTTTCCCCCATTTGGGTGGCATTCACTGACAATCCATCAAATCTTTTACAGTGGGGGCTGGGGAACAGGGACATGCTAGAGAGGTAGGAATCACTTCGGGTTCGACCAGATTGCCTTAGTTTCCCAAAATGAATCAGGTGTCATATTATGAAACTCATGAGTGATGTCAAAAGAGCCACCCTCGTTAAAGATTGTTCTTTTGAATAATGAATTTAGCAGGATAGGTGGTAGGTCACTTACGGGGCGTCCAAACTTGGACATCTCTGCTACTTTAGGTCTTCGTGGCTGACCTGGCATTCCTAAAAAAGATCAACACAGAAGTTCTTGGATGTAATAAAGACAATGATTGCTCACATCCTACAATGGAATGATTCATTTCTACAATCAATCAGCATGCAGCAGAAATATCACAGAAACCAAAACTCTGTTCACTGTGGTCACGTGTCTGAAGCACTCCATTAGACCCAAAAGACATTACCTAGTTTGACATTCACCGTGTTTTATAAAAGTGTTGAATAGTTAAAAGTTTAAGGTTGGAATTTCTTTAGATGAGAGAGAAATCATGTGACCACATGTTCATTGCTTTAAAAGGAAACATAGGAAATGTTTTCTAGGATGCCCAAAAAGGGATAATGTGAAGTGGTTTTTGGGACAAAGGGAGTATAAAACATGATTGGCAGGTCTATGTTGTATATACGATTTCTACTCCCTGGAATTGCATATAAAATTAATTGTTCTAAACATCTAATAAGCTTGCCAATATTTTTAAAAGATACAGCATTCTCTTTGTGAGAGGAGAGAGTATTACTCATGAGTCATGACTGCATGTGAGAATATATTATTTTGATAAAAACACCACTACCAAACCAGAATTTTTTGTGATTTCAATAATTTTCTAAATTTTGTGTTCAGGGTATAGTTGCTAGTGTGAGTACATGGATTCCTTGTATCTGTGTTTCTTTGTACTTCCAAGTAGGGTAAGGAATGAGTACACACGTTCCCCATTCCTTACTTTTTGTGAAATTTTACTGGGTTTGTTCTTAACACATTTTCCTCTTTCTGTTTTTAGAAAATAGAAAATAAAAAAAGAACAAAAATTCACAACCAAACGACACCTAAATATCAACAATATTAAAAGAGTTGCCATAGCATTTACCAGTGAAGACAACTAAGCCATGAGCAGCCACCCTAGCCAACTCAGGAACGGTCTTGTTGATATATCTTGGAGAAAGGTAATCTAGAGAATCAGACACGATGACGAGGGAGAATGACTTGGCACGGTAGGGGAGTGGGAACTTGATGTCAGCAACACGAACAATGGCTTTGCTGACTAAACTCTTGCAATCAGGATTTGCATCTTCTAAGTCATATGGTTCGATGCCCCACGCTTCTGTACCGTCCTCCTCTTTTAATAACTTGGAAACCACCGAACATGTGTCGGGGCCCACATGCAATACCTTCCTTGTGCTATCGCCATATGCCTTTTTGAGTATAGGGTACGCTCTTTGAAGCTCTGCTGTGCATGAAGCTACACCTGCACAAGGCAAAATGAGTTTCTTGAAAAACCAAAATCATTTTTTTCTTGTGAGCGAAAGTCCTTTTGTTTTTGTTTTTGTTTTTTTTTGAAAATCCAATGCCAAAGAGTAATAGCAATTTACCTTCAAGTCTATTGAAATCTTCAAGTCCTCTTTTTCCACCTGTCATGTAGAGAATTTGAAACTCAAAATCAATGTAAAAAACAGAAAATCTCTAAGAAGACCAAGAAAAGGGTAAATTTAGTAGCATCACCTCAACCCTAGCTTCGCCACAGAAAAAATAACCAATTACATTGGCTATAAAGATTATTAGGTGTATACAAACTTTGAATACAAAGATCAGTTTATACCTGAACCATGATATAAGAAACCTATAATCAGCAATGCACCCTGAAAGTTTTATGAAATGCATTTTCAGCACTGTTGCCTCTAAATCAAGAGCTCTTTTCAAAATTGGCAAATACTCCACAAGGGAAAGAGACATGGAGGAAAAAATAGAGAGGAAAAAAATTGGACGAAAGGAAAATGAGAAGGGAAATAACTTTTTTGATACTTCCCAATTCCGTAGAACTTTCTTCTATCCAAATATAGCATAAATTAATTGAGAATGAGCAAAAAACAAAAACTACAACAATCCAGTATAATCCCAACTCAAGATGTATGCAGTGTCTTACCATTACACTTGAGATGCATTGATGCATGCATTTACTACCCAAAACTTCATTGTGAGGATGAAGTAAACCAAGTTTAACATGAAATTTTGATTTAGTTCATTATTCACCCGAAGCTAAAATATTGTATTTCGAGTAATATTTAAAAACCTTAGAGTAAATGCTTACCACAACCACAATCCCAATGTATAAAAAAGAAGATGGCCGTGATTTTGGATGCGACGAGCCCATAAATGGTATGCTCACCGGATCCCCCAGACGATGCAATGCAGTCGGTCTTCTAGACATTGTAAAAAAGTTACAATCGGCAGCTAAGACCTAACACAATAAAAGACAAACATAAAAGCTTGTTCATGAAGCTTAACAGCTCCTGCATTAAAAACAATACATCAATGATTTTTCAATAAAAGCAAGCCTGACTTCTGCTTCTTCTTTCCATTTTGTTTGCTTTTGGTTTGGAGATTATAACATGTGTCTAAAACAGCATTTACTCACAGTTTCCAACTACATCAACTTTTAACAGTCTTTTCTTTTTAAATTAATACATGATTTCTATAGTCGTCTTAAACTGAGTGAGTGAGTGTGTCTACCTTAACGACAGACTATAATTGAGATATGGGGTACTGTTTATTAGAGAAATTGCCACTCGATTGTAAATCAACTTCAATTAAGCTTCCCTAATAAAATCTGGTACCACAAAAAAAACAATAGTAAAAAGAGTAAGAACATCCGACCCAAGCAACTGGATTCAACAACCCAGGGCATTATGGCGTATAAACTTTGATACAAAGGGTTACAACTTTACTTGTACAATTGAACATTAATCACGGCAATGTGAGATCTTAATCAAAAAGATGACAAGTTTAATAGTTCAAGTGAACATTAAGCTAAGTAATATCCAAAAGACAACTTTAATGGCTCAACAAACATAGTAATAAGATATTTCAATCCAAAAGTCTTGAATGGTACAATTGAACATTTATAGCAATAAGTGAAGCGGTAAAAAGGTAAATGCAGAAGTAGGAAAGATAAAACAATGTGAGATCTCAATCTAAAAGATTACTCCGGGTACATGTTAAATAGCTCAAATGAACATTAAGCTAAGTAATTTCCAAGAGACAACGGCTTTAATAGCTCAATAAGTATAGTAACAAGACATTTCAACCCAAAAGATCGCATCTTTAATGGCACAAGTGAACATTAACTACGGTAAATAGAAAAAAGCGAAGTAGTAAAAAGGCAAATGCAGAAGCAGGAAACACAAAGCATTGTGTGATCTCAAACCAATAGATTGCAAGTTCAATACTCCCCAGTTGAAATGACACTAAGCTACGAAATATCCAAAAGAGAACAACTTTAACAGCTCAATAAGCATAGTAGTGATAAGATATGATATTTACATCATCAACGGCACAGTACAAGAAAGAAAGAAAGAAATGGCATTCCCTTCAACTTCCATAAGTTCAGTAAAACATTAAATGAAAAAAGGGGAAAATTGGGGATAAGATCATTACTTTATTAGATTTACAGTTCGGACTTAGGGCTGAGAAACGTGAAGAAGAGATAGATGAGAGATACCTTCAAAGAAGAAGAAAGAAAAAGAGGAAGGCTTAGATCTAAAGGGTTTTCCTTCTTATGGTTGGAAGATTCGCTGTTGTTTATGGGTAGAAGAAAACTGGGAGGGAGAGAAATTATGGAAGGAGAATCTGAGTCGTTCTTGTCGGCGGCGATCCAGATCAATTTCCACCCGGCTCCGGCCCATCAAATCCTGATGCCAGAATTTAAGGCCCCTACAAAAAAGAAGAAAAAAAAAATTAACAGCGGAAACCGAAAATAGTGCTGGCTGTGGGGTTCGAACCCACGCGCACTTATGTGCAGAAGATCTTAAGTCTTCCCCCTTAACCTCTCGGGCAAACCAGCAACTGTTGGAACTTTCATTACAGACATTTATTTATTCCAAATTTCTTAAAAAAAGCATAACTCACATAGTCAAAATAAATTTCAAAAATAGTACCTGAACTTTCGCTGAAACTTTGAAAACGCTAACGCTAAACGCTGCCCGTAGATAACCTTTTTAAAATGCTAATACTATTCCCAAACAGGCCCATTATATCTTTTAAACATTTGCCAGCTGCTGGTTTGCCCAAGAGTGTGCGTGGGTTCGAACCCCACAACCAACACTTTTTCTTTATCGCCCTTAATTTCTTTTGTAGGGCCTTTAAATTTTGGTATCAGGGGTTCATGGGCCGGAGTCGGGTGGGATCCGATCTGGATCACCGCCGACAGGAACGAATCAGATTCTCATTTCATATTGGCATAATTTATCTCCTTCGCAGTTTTCTACCCAGAAAGAACAATGAATCTTTAATCCATAAGAAGGAAAACCCTCCAGATCTAAGCTTTCATCGTCTCCTTTCTCTTTCAAGGTATTTCTCATCTTCTCCTAATTTCGAACTGTAAATCTAATGAAGTGATGATCTTATTCCCAATTTCCCCCCTTTTCATTTAATATTTTACTGAACTTATGGAAGTTGAATGGAATGCCATTGCTTTTCATTTATACCACCGTCTCTCTTGCATCTGCACTTACATTTTTACCACTCGCTTATTGCTATTTACTGTGGTTAATGACTTAATGCTCAGTTGTGCCATTAAAGATGTAGTGGTTTGGATTGAAATATCTTATTACTATGCTTATTGAGCTATAGAAGGGCTATTGAAGAGCTATTCAGAAATGTGAAAACTAAAACAGAGTTTTGGTTTATGTGATATTTCTGCAGCATGCTGATTGATAAAAGAAAAGAAAATCACTCCATTGTAGCATCACTAGATGAGAAATACCTTGAAAGAAACCTGTGTGTGTTAGTGAGAATAAAAAGTTGAGATGGGAGCAAACTTGATGGTTTATGTGATATTTCTGCAGCATGCTGATTGATAGTCATTTTTAAATCTTATTAATATGTGTAAATTTTTCTAAAACGGCAATCATTTTGGAATAGAAGGAGCATATTTAAAGAAAACAAGCAATTAACCTTAACAGCTGTGAGCAGGCAGTCTGCTCACATGAAGGAGAAGCCTCACAAGAGCTACTTTTATTGTGGTTATTATTACTAGACTCTTGCTGGCTTGGCATGGTGGAAGATTGAGTCATATCTTTATGTTTATGAACTTTACCCCTGCCACTTTTAGGTTGAGACACTTTTTGCTTTCCAGACAGCAAGTGTAACACCTTAATCTGTTCTGGTCTGCAGCCCATTTCAGATTAAAGTATTAATTTGGTAATCGTAAAAATTTAAAACATTTCAAACACTTTTATTTATCACAATAATATTTTTCATAATATAAACAGTACGGAGTTTTCAATATTGCGGAAGCTTAACAAATCATAATACAAACATAATTTATTTATGTTCTTTAATTCAAAACCATCACATCCGTTCCGACAATCTCGCCTCCGTCTGCCTCTAGGATCACGTCACTTCATTAACCTGCGTGTAGCAAATAAAACACACTACACGCTCAGCGTTGAAGCTGAGTAAGCATATCTAATGCATCGAACATCCATATAAACTGAATCTAAATTCATAATCAAATCATTTGATATCATGCACATAATGTTCAGTTCAGATAATCAATAATTATTAAAAATTATTCATCATGCATTATTCAACATTTATATTCACATTCAATGTTCATCAGTCATTCATAATAATTGCAANCTTCCTCTGTTCAATTTTTAACATTATCATTTTTAATTACCAAACTTCAATTTAATTATATAGGAATGTTCCCTAATGTTCACAGATCATTTTAGAGTCATTAATTTGTAGTTTTAACAACAATTTCTTGGTTTATGATTCTTGGTTCTTCAAACATGTCAAACATAAAACTCAACCAAACGACCGTTTATGAACGTAAAAACGATCTATACGAACATTCTAATCACTAGATATATCTACGGGCTTACCTCGAAGTGTAATGGAGGTTTTGAAGATTTTCTGGCGAAACTTCCGGCGAGGATTTGTGGCTATCTCCGGCGATGGGAAGCTCTCTTGACAGCACTACTTCACTCTCTACACTCTCAGCTATTTATTGGAAGAAGAATGGTGAAAAATGGTGATGTTTAGAGAGGTATATATAGTGGAGAGGAGAGGAAGAAGACACGGGTTTGGTGACACCCGTTTCCCTATTCTGGCGTCTCGGTGGAGGGAGCGGCGATTGCTAGGATTCCCAGACGTAAGTCCCTGATTGGGACTAATTCGGTTCCAGTCGGGGAACACTTTTTGGTCCAACTTTTTCCGAATTGAAATCCGATTGCACCGTTGCGATCAGACAGTTAAACTATATCTTACGATATAATGTTTATATTTATTCGTTATACTTTTTCCGACATCATATTTTTGGGTGGTTGACTTTGACAGAGTCAAAATTGGTTTAATTGACCTTTATTCAAAAAGGTTCTCACATTTAATTCATATTATTTATTTCAATAAATCATTTCAAAGTTCACATTATAAACAATTTCTTCATTTATTCTTAATTTGGGTCTGTACTCAGGTTCCCAATCAAGATTACACAATAAATCAACATGTTGGATTTATCTCTATGAGATTTATCCCAATTATGTTTATTGGATATCAATATATATTTTATTTCAGCCCAAAGCCCAACAACAATTTATTTTAATCAAAACAAATTTTGTTTAATTGAATATTTAATTCAATAAATTTTAGGGTATATTTTGGGGCGTTACAGGGTCTAAAATCTTCATCATCAAAAGCAAAAGGATATTGGGTAACATCCACAAGTCCAAACACCTTGCTTTCATTGCTTACATTCCTAATTTTATCGAAGTTATTTACATTTGCAGTGTTATTTTTTGTCCCTGCATTATTATGCCCAGAGCTTCCACTGCATGATCCAGATGTGGAAGAGTCAATTCTTGTCTTCGACCACCAAGAATCAGAAATGTGAAAACTAACTCACATAGCATCACTAGATGAGAATTACTTTCTTTACCTATTTTCGTTAATTATTTGATAAAATAATATAGTTTTGTCACCTTTTGTTTTGTAGAACTTTTGATGTAATTTTTAAATATATAAAATTTATTTTTAATTTACAATTATAATCAAATAAATTGAATTAAAAATAAATTCGGTGAAATGTCATAAATCTAAACGAGAAGATGGTTCTAGGATGGAGGAAGAATATATGGCCAAATAACTCCAGTGCCCCCTTGTAGTTTGGAAAATTGGCACCAATATGTTTTCAAAACTTAGTTCTAAAATCCCCGTGATTTCAAAGTGTTGCACCCACACCCCTCTGATCATTTTCTGGCGAAAAGGGGTATTGGTGCATAATTTGTAAACCATATGAAGACATTCATGCTCATTTCTTATTTTTGTTTATTATTTGAGTTTTCCCTTTTTAAAAATATTTTCTATCTTTTTTTTATTTTCCTGGAATTTTTTAAAAATATATTTTCAATTTTTTATAATGTTTTAAAAATTTTAAAATTCTTTGTGTTTGAAATAAAAATAAAAAATTTAACATACATTACATTTGTCTCAAATTAGACATTTTCAACTTTTGTTACTTAGAATAATTTTTTGGAAAGTTCAAAAAACCCAGAATAAAAAAATAAAAATATGGAAAAACAAAATGGTAAAATTAAAATACGCAAAAGTCTTTTACAAATAAAATTGGACACGCCTAAAAAAAGTCCTTAGAATTGAGATGTCCAAAAGAATATTCATTTTTATTTTTGTATTATTTTGTTTCTTATTTTATTCGTCATTTTTTTGATGTTCTCAAAAAAATTTACCTTTTTTCAGAAAAAACAAAATTCTTGATTTGAAACGTACATATGCATTATATGTTAATTTTTTCAAAAAAATAACTTTAAATTCTAAGAACATTATTAAAATAATTTTAATAAAACTTTTATTAATAAATGAAACAAATAAAAGAAAAAATGGAAAAAGAAAAAATAAGCGAAAAATAAAAATCAGCACTAATACCGCCTATGGTTTTAAAAGATGCACCAATGCCCCTCTTCTTCGCTGGAAAATGGTTAGAAAATTATCAGAGGGGGCACAGGTTCAACATTTTAAAACCACAAAGATTTCAAACGTAATTTTAAAAAACAGAGAGAATATTGGTGACTATTTGTAAACAAGGGTACTAACGTTAGTTGGCCAAGAATATATATTTATTTATTATACAGGAACGCATGAGTCACGACTCTCATGAGGAGGAAAGAGGGACATGACAAAAAGGCAGCCATTCTTCTTCCTTCAAGCACACACTACTCGTGCTTCCAGACGCTCGTGGGACACGGAGAAGTTAAAGAAGAAATAATACTCCGTAATAAATTAATACTCAAACTCATCAAACAAACAAAAGTGTAGAACCTAATCTGCACCTGCGGTGATTCGCCTTCTGGGAGCTCCAAAGAGCATCGCTACCACCGCGTCAAGGACGGCGCCGCCCACAATAAAGCGCCAGTGACAGTCAACGTCACCGCAATTTCCGTCGGGCATACATATTCGTGCAATCACGCGCCCGTTGATCCTCTCGGCGGGCTTCAATTTCATCTCCGGAATTCCGACTAGTTTCGCTCTATTTGGTGAGGCCGAGAGATGGAGGCGACAGAGTGCGGCTCATCGGTTCTCTAGCACCCAATTTACTTCCGGGGCTCCTGGTTCTGGGTTAGTGATTTTGATGGCGGTGGAGTACAGATGTTGCGAGACGCAGTTCTTCGTCCACATCCTTCTGATCGTTCTTCTGGTTGCTTTTGCCGGATTGATGTCTGGACTCACTCTAGGGCTCATGTCACTGAGCCTGGTTGATCTTGAAGTTATTGCCAAGTCTGGAACTCCCCAAGACCGTAAACATGCCGGTAAGACATGGTTATTCTGTGTCTATTGCAATGAACTTGATTTTCTGCTTGGTTTTGGCTATTTATTATGCTTAACAGTTAACTCATTTGGTATCTTATTCAATTGGATCGATAATTTCTCATTATTAACAAAAGTGTTTAAGGAGTTCTACATGTCTAAAGTTTGAGCTCATAAGAGAAGACCAGTGTTGAAGTCTCTATACTCACTCATTGTAGAGAAATATTTATATCAAACTCTTCATTTGGGCTTATTATCATCATATTAGATATTCAGTTAAATCCTAAAAGATCAACCCGTGAGTAGTAGTAGTCCAATGCCAAATATGTAGGCTTATATTGGGTATGGTATATTGGTATGAGTTAACAAGGGGCAAGTTAGAAAATCTTTATGCTATTCTCTATCATTGATGTGCTTGTCGTTCATGATGGTTAGGGCAGGTAGCCTAGCATTTACACTGGTGTTCATTTTGTGTATTTATTGTGTTGCATTTGAATCGCGTATAGAGAGGCAGATAGCTTATCGATTCAAAAAGCGAGTAAAATAGTTAGAAATAGTTTTCTTTGATACAACACATTAAAGTCCGTGTGGCTGAAAATTTAGCTGCTTGATACTATTGTACAAAAATAAACATTGTCTTTCATAATTGCGTTGGTAGTGCTCTCCTTGAACTTACACGTCATATTTCATAAATGCATTTTTTTGTTTTTTAATCTTGTCTCCACTTGTGATATCAGCAAAGATATTACCAGTAGTAAGAAATCAACACTTGTTGCTATGCACACTCCTCATTTGCAATGCTGCAGCCATGGAGGTACATATAAAAACAATGGATAGTTTTTAACTTTTTATCCAATAAAATACCTTTATGCTTTCGATTATGATATTAAAAGTGAAACATGTCTCTCTTTTTCAGACACTTCCAATATTCCTTGACAGTCTAGTAACAGCTTGGGGTGCTATCCTCATATCTGTCACGTTGATTCTTTTGTTTGGCGAGGTAAGAATATCATGTTTGGTAGTGTTACAATTTGAAGCCTACAAACTCGTAAATTGTACGTAGTAATTGCCGAACTGAGAGGATATCTACTGCCTCGCTAAAGCAAAAATTTTATATTTTTGTACACCGACTGATATTAGCAACTTGTTCAGATCATACCGCAGTCAGTTTGTTCGAGATATGGATTGGCAATTGGTGCTTTTACAGCTCCCATTGTCCGCATTCTTGTCTGGATATGCTTCCCAATTGCATATCCTATTAGCAAGGTAAGCTTATGTGTCCACTTATAGTGCTAAAGTTGATAAATGCTTAAAAAGAGCATAGTGACTTAATTTAGGAACTCCCACACAATGGTGTATTTTCCTTTGCTTTTTGGGAGGAGTTGAATTCCAACCATGGATCTCAGGACAGAAGGGGGGATAGTCCACAGGCATGCCCTTCAAAGTTGTTTAGGCTATGTTTGGAACTTGGAAAATGTGTTGAAAGGGAAAACTAAGGAAAATTAAGTTTGAATGAACTTCTTAAAGGTTCACATATCTTTAGAGTTTTTAGGTGTTACTCCCTCCATCTGAGTGGAAGATTCCAATTACGGCTAGTGAAGCTCAATTGAATTTATTTTCAATTCAATTCGTTTAAATATTGTAAAATTTAAAAATATAATTTTTATATTAAAAGCTGCATCTAAATCTATATATATATAATAGAGGTGACTTGACTATGTTATTTTAAGAAACGATTGATGAAAATATATAATGAAAAAGACTGAGTTTGACTGTTGAATAGTGCACTAGGATATACCTATTGGACAGTGAGTAAATAATATAAAAATATGAACTAATTGAGTGAAAAACATCTATAAGTGATGTGTTTTGATTAAACCACTTTTTCTTTATTCCCTTCTACCAAACACATTTTCTTTCCTTTTAATTTCTCCTCTATTTATTGTCCTATTATCTTTCTGTAGTATTTTCACAGTTCCTAATGGACCCTTAATGGTTCATGAAAAAAAATTACATTTTCACAACTCTAAATTCTTTTTGCCGGTTGTTAGCATCTGATCTTTACTAAAATGGGTGTTTGAAATATATTGACATTTCATTTTAGTCACTGTTTTCTCATGGTTTTCAGCTGCTGGACTTCCTGCTAGGTCACGAGAATAAAGCTCTTTTCAGGCGAGCTGAATTGAAAACGCTGGTTAATTTGCACGGGAACGAGGTATGCAACTAATGCATGTTTCTGGCAATGCTTCTACCTAATGATGATGTCATCATTCACATTCTGTTTATCATTCAAATTTTGTGAATCATTAAAATGTGAAATTGTGAATACACTACAGTATGTGAACTCTCCATTCTTTGCAAAGGTTCTGACTTTTTGTGGGTTGTCTGTTTTTACGCAGGCAGGTAAAGGTGGAGAGCTCACACATGATGAAACAACTATAATTGCGGGCGCTCTTGAGCTTCATGAAAAAACAGCAAGAGATGCCATGACACCTATATCTGAAACCTTTGCAATAGATATTAATGCGACACTGGACAGGTAGTGTTAACGTTTTGGGACACATCAAGATGCGAAATATGTTAGATTCTGACTTATCTAGTGGTTTTACTACTTCCATTGTTGCAGGGATATGATGAATATAATTTTGGAGAAAGGACATAGCAGAATACCAGTCTACTATGAGCAGCCCACAAACATTATAGGCCTTGTTCTGGTGCTTCATCCTTTTCCATTCTCAAAATTATTCTTTGATGTATTAACGCATTCAGAAACCTTGGAAAAGACATTCAGCTTTGAATTTTACACATTCTTGCCAAATGTGCTGCCATGTAGAAGTTTAAACATATTGGATTAACCTGCATAATTGTCACTAATTAGGTTATATTCTGATACAAAATAACATGACTTGTTCACCCACTTGTTAAATATTAAGATTTGTTGTCACCTTTTAAAGTTATAGTTCGAAGTTTTAGGATCTGTTTGGTAGTTCAGTTTTGAACTTTGGACTTTGGAGGGGAAAGCTTTGGAGGGCTTAGTCTATATCTTGATGAATATAATGCTTCTAAAACCTAATACATGGTCATTGAGATCTTATTTTACCTAATATGCTATTCTTCCGGTGGTTACAAAATGTCATGCACTTCCAAACCCTTTCATCTAAAATCTTGGTCCATAAAATTTTGGGTCTATTCTCCATTTAAATCGGCTTTGGACAGTTTCTTTGTATCCAAGATTATAATCTTCTAATACCTGGTAGGTTCTACTTCGTAAACATTTTTTTGCTTAAGCTTGGAAACACACATGCAAACATTACTTGCGACCAAATTTACTTGAGTTGCACATGAATGGATAGTTATCTCATCTAATTTTTAATGAGTTCAGAATCAGTCAATCAGGGAAATATTTCATGCACAAATGTCAACATTTAGTAAGTGGTGTCACTGGTGTGCACATTTCTTGATGAAGATATACACTTATGCTTTCCCCATTTTGTATGATTTTATAGGTCAAAAACTTGCTGACTGTCCATCCAGAAGACAGAGTTCATGTGAAAAATGTTACTATTCGAAGGATACCACGGTAAATCTTATTTATATTATGCTTGTAAGTTATTTTGCTGTGTAGTGATCAAGCATAACCATCAGTGAATTTGGAAATTGGAAACAACCATTACTTCTATCGTCTTTCTGTAAGTTAAAATGCTCACTGGTCGATGCCTATGGTAATTGACGGCTACAAACCACCTTTTTGGCTCCCAGGGTTTTGGAAACTATGCCATTAGATGACATCTTGAATGAGTTTCAGAAGGGTCACAGCCACATGGCTGTTGTTGTTCGGCAATGCGACAAGCAGACACCTCAGACTGCTACTCAAGCCCCAAACAGTGGTAATGACTTTGTTTATCAGTTTTCTGAAAAGTGCTAGACATCCCTATATCCTCTAGTTAGTCAATTAGAGCCTAGCTCCTAAGGGCTCTTAGATGGGGATTATTTGAGACATAGTTCACAGCCGGGATAAGGTGTGGCCTGTGGGTGTCTAATGGAGACTTGGTTCCTAAGCAGAGCTAGGTGGGAATTATTAGAATATTGATATTTTTTGAGAAATGATAGTGGCTGGGTAAGGTCTGAAAATGGGTTAGGTAACAAGTGTATTTACCATCATACCCCCACACAGTAAATGGTACTCTGTAAACAATAATATAATTTTTTTTGGGAGGGGGGCATGATAATAAATTCAGACCCGCAGCCTAGCCCATTTCCTAGCCCCATCCGCGTCCTATCCTTTTTTTAGTTATTTCCACGTGGGAAAAACCTAAATTGGAACTAGAATGAAGTTTGGGTGCTAACGTCTAGAACCCAAAAACGGTCCTGAAAACTTTTGGTGCATTTTGAGTTCAATTAATTTGCATTGGGCTTCATCAATTAATTGTCCATGTTGAGATCAATTGTGAGAACCTAGCAACAAAACGATGGGAAAATCTAGTTTTAGACCATAGGTTTATGTTAGTATAACCCAAATATTGAATTAAATATGTTGGAATGATTGATTCATACTCCATAATGTCAACCCAAACATTGAATTGACTAGTATTTAAAACTCCGGCTCTTGAGCTGAATTCAATATTTTATTTGTAAACTCGAGATCCAAACTCTTTGTTGATTTATTTGGAATTTAGTCGGGTTTTACCAATCAACATATTCACACTCTTTACCACATTAAAAAAAATCTCTAGATGCAGTAGCTGAGGTGAAGGTAGACATTGATGGTGAAAGGAATCCTTTGCAAAAGAGTCTGAAGATGAAGCGATCAATGCAGAAGTGGAAGAGTTTTCCCAACAGTGGTAGTAATTCACTCAAGGGATCACGGAGCAAGAAATGGATGAAGGACATGTACGCAGATATCTTGCCAATGGACGGAAACCCTTTGCCAAAACTCCCTGAAGAAGAGGAGGTAGTCGGGATCATAACTATGGAAGATGTTATTGAAGAACTTTTACAGGTAGGAAAACATCTAATATTAGGAAAAAAAATAAAAAAGCTAGTTTTTGTTACAAACACACAATTTTGGCATAGACGCAAGCTCGTAATTGGGTTCTTGCGAACATGTTTATGTTTTTCTGATTCTTGATGTTGTGTTTGTAGGAGGAGATTTATGATGAGACGGATCACCAGGTGGACGAGTCTTGATGCTTAAAGAGTTGCTCTTTTTTTTTGTACAAGTTTAGAAGTGAGATAAGTGTGGCTAAAGTAGCACCTCAAGTGCTCCCAACCAAAGTAGCAGCAGCTGAAGAAGTGCTAGTCCCAGTGGCAGCTAAAGTATAGCGGGTCAAGTGTAAAAATTGAAGAATGAGAACAATCTTGCCTGAGGTTTTTCGGATATGTAATGGAATCATACTTGGATAAGTTTCAATCTATTTGGATATCAAAAATGCTAGGGGTACACTAAAATGTAGAAAGAATGAATGATGTATAAATGGGGTACACCAAATTGGTGTACCCCTAGCATTACTCATCGGGATATATAACATATATGATATCGGATAATAAATATAATGAATCTGAATAATTTGAAATCTAAATTGAGAGAAAATCATTAGCCTTATCCGGCATATTAGGCCACTGATGATAGCTTATTACATATCGATGTGGTAGCCATTGATGGAGTTTGAAGCTCGAGATAATGAAGTGTATAGAAATGGTGTAGATCTAATTTGACTTTCTCTTTTTTATGGCTTGAAGTCTTTATTTATAGTAGAATAAGGAATTCTAGGGGTTAGAGTTTTTCTAATGAGTTTCTCGAATGAAACCAGCCCAATATATATTGCCTTGATTTCCATCAAGATTACTTATGGTTTACTATGTGGTATGTCTTCGGCTAAATTTACGTGAGAGTATGAGACCGTTATATGTAGAATGGAATTTGATTTCAAAGTCAAAATCAACTTGTGGGGTGTAATTGATGGGGGTAGAGGGTGTGTTCGGGTCGGGGCGGGGTGGGGGGTTAGGAGGGTAAGAACCGTCAATTTTACGAAGGGGGTACCGGAGCGCTCCGGGTCATCCCATGACATTGGATTCCAATGTCATGGGAACCTTAGTGATGTAGAATTGTAGAATGATTAAACTCTTTGTTGAACATGAAGAATATTCTCTTTGCCAAAGATTTTATGGTCTAGCGACATGATGATGACTCTTTCATATATGAGATCACGGGCTCAATTCTTAGAGAGAGTAATATCTCTGTGCTTAATGAATTGATAAATTATGAATAAATATTACGGAGTATATTTTAATAGAGTTATTAGTGTTTTAAAAAAAGAATACTCCTTTGGGAAGTCTAAAAATAAAGTTCATAATTTCTCTTGATGTTTTCTATTAAGGAAAAGAAAATGTGGTTTCCAATCAAATTTTAACTGCCCATCTTTCATCTTTTTTAAATAAAAAATGCTCCGTTCCAAAAACTTTGTAGTTTTACGAACGATCTGGTGACTCTCTCAAATGAAAGATCACTTGTTCGAACCCAAGTGAAGGCAATAACTTTATATAAATTGAGAATCTATAAATAAATATTACATTGTAATAAAATCATTAGTGTAAAAAATATTATGAGATACCTCCATCCCAGAGTATTTGTAAAAATATACTATGGATTACCTCCATCCCTATAGTGTAAAATAATACTATTGAGTTACCAATGGATAAATTTTTACCATTAATTAAATAAAATTTAAATTCGGTTTAAACATTGGGATTAAAATTTAAATTACTTTCTACCTTCATCATTTCTTTTTCCTTGTTTAAAGAATAGTCCTACTTAGAAAAAATAAAAATAATACTTATAAAAAATAACAAAAAATAAAAAATAACTAGAATGATACAATATTAATGAAATAAGTAAAATAATCAATAGAAACTAATTTGAAATTGGTAATAAATGAACTACAAATATATTTGAAGTGGTGAGTTTTAATGTTTTACGTAATATACATAGTATTAATGGTTGAGATGCTTGAATATATCTGTTGGTGCAAGGGAATTTGGTCTGACCACGTCGCTTCCAAATCACTACCTTCTAATTATGCTAGGGTGTTAGTACGTACGCCAATCCCAATGATGCACTGGGTGATCTAAGAATCCCAATGGTGATTTCTCAAAGGAATGCCTTGGTGATCTAAGAATCCCTCTCGCAAAGCTACGCTCCCTAACTGGTAGTGTGGCGAGTAGAGAATCACCCCAATGGTTTATTGCCCAACTGTCAGGTTTTGGTTTAGCCCAACTGCCCTGGTACATACTGCTCATGGACCACCTAGTCATTTCTTATCGTATCTGACCCAGGTTGGGTATTTGGGTGAGATACACCCATCACTCACCATCTAGACAATTTCTGTAAATTTTTTATGGTGATTATTTGTGTAATTGACAGTAAAAACAACCTTAGTATTAATTTAGCCAAATATTTTTTACTTTAAAATATTTGTATAGGAAAAAAATTTTAAAAATATTTCAATGACTTTTACATTGTAATTACGTTTATCTTGACAAAAAGGAATAAGTAAATCTTGTAGGGAGTATTAAAAAATTTAAAAAGAAAAAAAATGAACCAAAAGAATTTTAGAGGATCTAAAAACAAAATTTGTAAATTTTTTACAGGGAAAATTTAATTAAAACTTTTTGAAAGGACAAAAATATAATTAAACCCTTGGATTTAACATATAAAATGTTTTTAAAATTTTATTTAATCTCTCTCCCAATAATCCTAGTTAGTTAATACGCGTGTATTTTACTTACATACGTATAATACATTTTTGATTTCACAAATCAAAACCTTAACCCTTGTGTTATTTGCCGCTGTCCCATATACGAGGAGCGCCGCTGGAGTATCTTGCTGTTGTCCATGTACGAGGAGCGCCGACGATTTCCTCTTCCTCTTCCTCTTCGGCTTTCGGTCTGATACTCTGTTTCAAGTCATTCAACTCAGCAGCGCCGGCGATTTCCTCTTCATCTTCGGTCTGATACTCTGATACCAGTAAGTTCCTATAGTTTTTTCATGTTTTTATCATCTAATTTATGGATTTCCTGCTGCGATTTTGGCCTCTGCGATTTGTCTCAAACTCCCAAATCCCTAATCCCCAATTGCATATTTAAAAGCAATCTGCCAATCTTTCCCAAAAAAAGTGGCTAATAAATGGCTAATTAACTCAGAAATGCAGACGGAGAGAAAACCATTTTCTTTTCTTTTCTTTCAAAATTCCTTGAACCAAACATAGTGTAAGTGTGTAGCAGATTTTTTTTTTGTGCTGATTGCATTTCCGTTTCGCACTTGTTCTCTGTGGATGGCAGACCCAATTTTCTATCCTTCTCTGTTGAATAGAGAATCCTATATATTTGCTATAAAAAAAGTGTTAGATTATACCTGTTATTGTAAAAAAAATGCTATAATTACTGTCATTTCCTATATATTGGTGTTATATAATTGTTCACTATATACTTGCTGTAATACACTTGGATATTTGGATTGGTTCTCCCCATACAATTGATCCCTATATACTTTTAATTTTATAATAGTAGTATTTTATTGTGAAAAGCTATAATAGCTCTCCCCTTGGAGATGCTATAGTAATTCCTTTTAATTATAGGCTAATTTTCTAATAAATTGAATAAAAAATAACCTCACTCGGATCGTACTCCATAAGTGGAACCTTGTTTTGGGAGGGAGGGGTTATTAACTAACATAATTCTATAATTCTTCATTATTTGTAAATGCATTCACAGTCTGGTTTTAAAAAGCGAAAAGGGCAGACTGTCTCGAGGCAGTAAGGTGGTGGAATCTCGCCTCAGAGGCGTCCGCATCAGATGGCATATGTGAGGCGTACGCCTTGGTTGTCCTAGGCGGTACAAGGTGGTTGAGGCGATAGCCTTAGTGCTTATGCCAATTTCAAAGTTTTGTACGGAGTAAACTTTTAAACCAAGTTATTGGGCCTTTTTAAAAACTTGGGCTTGTACATTTTTTTTTAAATTTAGATTCTTTGTTAAAAACTCCAAATAAACCTAACCTTCCTTCTCAATCTCTCTGGTCGCTGTCTTGCGGTGGAGTCGCGAGTCGCCGTTACTCCCTCAAGGTCGCCTTTTTTTCCTTTTTGTAGTCGTCTCTCACTTCTCTCTTGCAGTAGAAAGTAGAACTAAGGTATGCTCTTTTATTCTATAATTACCTTATTTTCTAATCACTTCATCTTCTACCATTTCAAATATAAAGTTGTTTAAGTAAAAAAATCATGACATTTGTAACGGATGTACTTATAGTACTTCATAGTTTTTTCAGTAAAATACATTGCTTTTTACTCCCATGATAAGATAGATATGGACAATGTTTATGGAATGGACGATAAGTAGTCTAAAACTTGCAGACTAGAATTGAAGTCTCAAAATGATGTCATGAATGTGGATTATCTTATTTCCTTTTTATTTTACCCTATTTTTTGTTCAAATGAAAACATATGTATGACTTTTCATATTTAGGAATTAGGAATTATGCATTTTGTTGTACCTAAGCATTTTTTTTGTTATTTTTTCAAGTTGAACTAAGGCTACCGCCTACTGCCTTGTTCCGTCTCGAGGCTTACGCCTCAAGGCTTTTGCCTAACCGCCTCGAGGCTCATTTTCGCCTTTTAAAACCTTGATTCACACATGCATACAGTGATAGCGCAAATGATGATTTCCTCTCTATTTATGTGACGGTTTCTGGCTGGGCAGCAATTCAGTATCAACTAAATATTGTCATCCTAAATTTTTCTTTTTATAATCAAATTTAAAATGAATCCAATTAGCCATTTCAAATTTTCCTTATATCTTTCTCACCAAGTTCTGGACTTTAAATCTTCTCTAAAGACCATTCCTTTTTTCATGAGGTGAAGGCGGCAACTTTTTATTCTGTGTAGGATTGGGAAGGACTGAAAGTTTCAGTTTTTATTGCCTAGCTTTTGAGAGATGGCGGCAATTCATCCTAGTCAATGTCATTCAATGTCTTCAACCTGTCCCTTCTTAGGCCTCAAGGTCAACTCAAGGTAGTCATTTTAATATCATTCTTCATACTACGTATATGAAATGTGTACTGAATTTCCTTAACATTTTTTTCCTATCACAGTTGTATGAATCTCTTGAATAACTAATAATGAATTTTTGTAACCGCAATTCCTTTCAGGGCTCAACAAGTTTCTCTTGTGCGGAAAACTATTGGGGTAGTGAAATGTGTTGCAACACTCGAGCAAACTGGTATAAATTGCATTCACACAAAAATGATATAAAACTGAAAAAGTGTTGTAGTTTCATTTAGAACTACTATCTCTGTCTCACTATTTTTTGTCCCATTTTGACTGAAACATTTTTGTCAGTAATTTATCTAAATACTTGTGTTGAATTAAAAATTTAAAATTACTCCGTATATGTATATTTAAAAACGACGTCAAAAGTTCTACAAAACAAAAGGACATGCCTATTATCTTAACAAGTGATAGATTGATAGATGAAAATAGGTAAAAAAAAAAGTAGATTTAGTTTGACCCGAATAGTGGATCAGACAAAAACAGCCGGTCGGTTGGGGGGCAAGGAATATTTTATTTACTCAATTGATTGTATGCTTACGGAGTTACTGAATTTGGCCATTCATTTTTTGGGACTCAATTTGGTCTCTGTGTATTGAATGTGGGATTTTTGACATGATTTAGTCCTCGCACATAATTGCCTCTAATTTAGTAAAGTTTTATCACTGAATTTCGGCCTCTGTATCAAGTAGCCACTAGATAATTTGATTACATTATACTCCTCAACTATTAATGGATTAACATACCATTCTAAGTTAAATTTAAATTTTCCTGAATACTTGCTTGGGTCCAAATTGCATCAAAATTAACCTGAATACTTAAATTTGCCTGAATACTTACTTTGGTCTAGGACGAGATTGAGGCTAAAAGAAAAATGGACTGAAATGAGAACTATGCTTAGTCGAGTCTTCAATAATATAAAGTATTATTAAAAACTTTGGCATCAAAATTGCTTATTTTAGGTTTCTATAACACTGAACAAAGTGAAGGATATATTCATATTCTGTTTGGTGGCGTATCCAAAATTTGCTAGTTGCCAAATCTGCCAAAGTATTTGATATGTGCTTTTGGAAAATGATCATTGCATGCATTGTGCATGCTTTCTGTTTATATTATTCTTTTAAACAGTTGGCTTGCCTATTTATTTCTCATGCATTCCATGAAGCTTACAAGACGAACGTCTCTCGCAATGAAAACTTGGGTAAACTTCAAGCTGGTTATCTCTTTCCTGAAGTACGTATCTATCTGACCCCATCTCCCTCTCTCTATGTAATATTATCTCTTAAAGATATTTCCCTACATTGTAGTAGACGTTGAAAGAAAAGAAAGAATCATAAATGTTGATGTTTTTTCCTTAGATTGCTAGAAGAAGAGCTGCACACTTGTTGAAGCACCCTGATGCCCAGATTATAAGCCTTGGAATTGGTGACACTACTGAGCCCATTCCTGATGTGATAGCATCTGCTATGGCAAAGGTAGTGTGTGCTTTTAATGTTGTATGCGGACCCAATCAGGCAAAGTACTTTGGCTTTTTAAGAGTATTTTTGAACTCGAAAACTCTAGACAAAGGAAAGTTTGTGTTGTTTGGTTTTACACTTTAACTTTGAAAAGTAATGGACCAGTATATATGTAGTTCTAAAAAAATCTCTGAATATTTAGATTTCTTAGTTTTTAACTAACAAAAAAATGATTCAAGTTTGAACAAATATCTCAAATATATTTATTGAGTTCGAATGTATCTTTTCTTTCCCCCAATTTTTCTTTCATTTTATTTTTCCTCTCTATTTTCTTCCCCAAGCATTATCCGGGTTCCAAACAGATCTTTACTGTACTTGTTTGTGTTGCAATTCACATTCATTGATGTATAATACCATTGCTCTTTACTAAGTTAAGTTACTGCTTTCAAATCGTTATGATCCTTGAGTGCTTGATATTGGCAAATTTCATCCTTCTCATCACTGATATAAATTTGGTCAGTTTAAAATTGGCATTTTATTAGATTCATGAGAATGTTTTTTTTTGCAGAAGTACAAAGCCCCGCACTTACAATTTCTAGGACTTTTTCTATGATGGGATGACTATTAAAGTTTCTTATGTTTTTTTCTCTTTGTCTTTCAAATTGAGGGACCGGCTATATCCTAATTGACTTTTATTTTATTATTTACATATTGATAGAGAGCCCATGCATTGTCAACTCTTGAGGGATATAGTGGCTATGGAGCTGAACAAGGAGAAAAAGTACACCTTTGCCTTCCATCTTTTATTATCTGTTTTATTGATTCTGATTCTGTTCTTTTATAGGTCTAACCTTCAACTTCCCCCTGTTGATGAAATTTGAAACAAGTATATATGAACTGGGGTGACATTTATATTCATAGGTCCTAAATTGTTACTCCATCTGGTCCTATTTATCTATTGCCGAAATTTATGAGTGGTAGAAGTTTCAATACACGTACGTTCTTTAAAATGTCTTAATTTTATCCATATGTGGTTGAACAGTCAGTACGATCTGCAATAGCTTCAACTTTTTACTCAAATCTTGACATTGAGGATGATGATATTTTTGTGTCAGATGGTGCTAAAAGTGACATATCACGACTTCAGGTTTGAGATTTATTTTGCTTCTTCTTTCTGGACCGACTCTAATGAATTGCTTGATGCTTGTTAACACTATCCTTTTTCCTTGACCAGGTTCTCTTTGGATCTGATGTGACAATGGCTGTGCAAGACCCATCATACCCGGTAAATTGACTTATAGAGCATTTGTGATGATTTCTTCTCTGGCAATTAGTGAAAAGCGAGGAAGGAAAATGCTTTTGCTTCAAAAAGAAGCTTTTTCCAGGAACATAGAAATAAAATGCTGTCAACAACATATGACAATATTTTATGTTAATTTAGCAAAGCATTTAAGTGCTTAAATGGAAATGAGAAAGCACTTATGGTAGAATCCGTTTGTGGCTTCACAGGTCAGCATACAACAACAAGCCCAGTAATATCCCACAAAAAGTAGGGTTTAGGGAGGGTGTGTGTATGCAAACCTTACCCCTGGCTTGAAAGCAGAGAGACTATTTCCAAGTGACCTCCGACTTAGAACAAAGAAGCACAGACAAAAGTAACACATTAAACAGAGTAGCATGAACAAAGTAAGAACATAGCAACACGTTGCATCCATACCAACACTAGCGACAAAATCCAAAGTACATAAAAAACACATGCATAAGCTACTTACTAAAGTAAAAAAACACCAGCAAAAATCACAATTCAACGTTACTCTTTAAATCTTTCTTTTTCATTGCAGGCATATGTGGACTCTAGTGTTATATTAGGTCAAACTGGACAGTACCAGAAGGATGTTCAGAAGTATGAGAATATTGTGTACATGAAATGTACACCAGGAAATGGCTTTTTCCCGGACCTTTCATCTGTTCCAAGGGCAGATATCATATTTTTCTGTTCACCTAATAACCCAACTGGTTCAACTGCATCAAGGGACCAGCTTACTAAATTGGTGCAATTTGCTAAGAAAAATGGGTCAATCATAGTCTATGATTCTGCATATGCAATGTATATATCAGATGAAAGTCCAAAATCCATCTTTGAAATCCCTGGAGCCAAAGAGGTAATGTGGCGCCACTTATTTATTAACGAAAGCTACTCACATATATTTGGAAATCTAAAGAATATACTCCCTCTTTCCCAAATTAAACTTCTTGTTACTTTTTCATAGAGTTTAAGAAAAAACAAAATTGTGCTGTTGACATATATATATATATATATATATATATATAATGAAAAATTATGTTTTATACAGGGTACATTTAAATGTAATCCATTCACTTGTATTTGACTATTTTTAGTGATTTATACATAAAGCAAAATATAGTCATGTGAGGTTTTGTTATATTTGTCTCAATATAAACTTTTGCGAGTATCAACTTTTTATAATTTTAACAAAACATATTGAAGATATTAATGATTTACTTTATGCATTGGCAACATGAAAATCTTGATGTTGCATTTATTTAACAAAGAACAGAGGAAGTATATTACTGCTTCCTTCGTTTGACTATTTTTTATTCGCTTTTCCCCATTAATTTATGTCATGTTATCTTTATTCTATTCCATACTTGTGTGGTCCATGAGCGTTATTACTTTATCCATCATAGTTTACATATTCAACATCAACCACGCAATTACACTCTTCCTAAATATGCATGTCACTTCTTCATGCCCCAAAGAGAAGACACTGGAGTAATAACATAAACATTATTTTCAGTTAAAAAATTATTTGCAAAATGACTTAAAAATAAATACATACACAAAATAATGTGTTGTTCAGATTTACTTGTTCGATTTCTTAGTTTTATGCGTCTGGAATCAGTTGTCCAGACCCTACTTTTGGGGGATTATATTGAATCTGTTTGTTGTTATAATCTAGTGGTTAACTTTCAGGTTGCAATTGAGGTTTCTTCGTTTTCCAAATACGCTGGTTTCACTGGTGTTCGATTAGGTTGGACAGTCATTCCAAAATCTCTATTATATTCTGATGGATTCCCGGTGGCTAAGGATTTCAATCGCATTGTCTGTACATGCTTCAACGGTGCATCCAATATTGCACAATCTGGCGGCCTAGCATGCCTTTCACCTGAAGGCTTTGAGGTATGTTCCATGAAACATAAAGCCATAAACTCACAATCAGCTGCTGATACCACTAGTGTTTTAAGTTGTGACAATAGTTATTAATTAAATGCCTGTCATCAATTTTTAACTCAAGTTATCCAGACTGCCATCTCCAAACTCTTGGGCTATGTTTGGTTTGATGGGGAATGGAAGGGGAAAGAAATGAATGATTCTGTGTTTGGCTCAAAAGAATTAGAGGAGATCTAATGACTAGTTTACTGTTATACCCATATATTTTAGTCCTTTTCTAATATCATACCATACGTGGGGAATAAATGCAAATTTAATAAACTTGATAGGATAAAGTAGTCAAAATTTTTGGTTTCCTTCTTAAGAACCCTGGCTTCCAGCGAACCAACATAAGGGTGGAGAAGGGTTTTTTTTTGGATTTGGGGGGGGGGGGGGG